ATTTCAAGAATAAGCAGAGGCCAAAAGCTGCTTGTTCCATAAAAATATTTGTAGGTACTACAGAAATCAATTTATCCTTACATTAACATTATACTATATTTGGATAGCTGAAGACCGAACTCAGTTGTGTGCTATAGGAGAGGGAGGGAGAGATGAATCGATTAACATCTAACAGTTCACCAGCTTCTTCATTTGCACAAATAATCATAATAATACCTTCATTTGCACAAATAATCATATTGATTGATCTGTGGTTTCATTAATATATATGTGAATATTTCGAAAGTCTAACGGTGCTCATATAGTTAATAAAGAGCTCGACTTTATCTATTCTAATACTCTTGTAACATTATGGTGTGCAATAAATGGTTTAGTGTCGAGTAGATTATTAGTCATGGTCTCCCAAATGTGTGTAAAGTTGGTGTCATTACAGGTTACATCACGCGCCGCTTCGCGTTTGTTTCACGTATCATTCAAACACGAGATTCGATCAGCGTCGCTTGCATTATCCGATGCGAAACCAATATAGACTTTAACGGCACGTGGCAAAGTCTTAATTAGTGCGAATATAGTGCTCTGTTTCTGGATATGCAGTGTGATTCGCCAGTGATGTGATGGTCCTAAATGCTGTTTGACACTTGGCTCGCATTGGGAGCGTCCTATTGTGTCTACCTGTTGTTCAGTGGCCGTTATGTAGATTTAACCGATGATGGTAATGTTTTTTCTTCACGTTTACACAAGTCGTGTCTAAATGTTTTTTTTTTATAACCTACTCGTTTACGATGTTTTTATAAGCAACAGTATGATTAGCTGATGTACCCTTGCAAAAGACTCTACAGACATTACTGGGTAGTGACTAAATATGTTGTGGGTTCTACTGGTACTTAACACTTTTTTAACTGCTTTGGTTTACTAAATACTTGATTATGCTTTATAGTATTATTAGTTATTTTATGATTCATTAAATTGTAACAGTTTTACTTTCGACTCTATTATATCAAAGACCTCTTTAATTTGCAAAATAGATTCCTGGTAATGCTATAAATGTGGCTAATATTCCTTGTATTTACATCCTCTATGTCTAAGTAAGATAGCTACTTTCGGGTATTCCCAATAATATATTCACGATAATATTTCATTAGAGATAACTGCCAAAGCTTTTGCCTAATATTTGTGTCAATGAAAAACGTAAAACAGCGGTCACGGTAGTTTAAATAACATTGAAAGCTATGGGTTTAATTCCCAGTGGCAAACTGTAAATCTTATGTGGTTCGGTCCAGATTTAGGGGCCCTCCCACCTCTGAAACTCCGGCCCTGAGTAAGTAGGTAATTGTATACGCGAGAATTACGAAATTGAAGAAATTGTTAAGGTTACTTTGATATTGTAAGGGACAATAATTATCAACTATACCACGTCGGGAGTCGCAATCTGTATTAGATTGTAAATTGCCGTGTATTACGTAGTAACACAATAGTTACACCATCATATAAAGTAGAAGTTTATGGTTGACTCATGGGTCTGGGCTCTGGACTCCATTAGTTTCTGTCTCGCTATTCATGAACTGTACTCGACGCACACACTTTGACAGAGCCCTAATCGTATCACCATCTTCGAATTTTCTAAGGAAGGACTGAAATCAATGAAAAAGTAAAGTTTTGTTTATAATTCCATGTTTGGTGTTAAACCAATAAAAATAATAATCTGTGATCGCAGTCTACCAACCTTATGGACCGTTGACATGCAGAGAGACTGGTTGTTTTAATTTCGTAATCGATAGCGATAGCCATAGCAACCCCGTTAGGCGATTGGCCCCACGGTGTGCGGACATTTTTTGCCCGGAAATTGGATCTATCCCTTTACATCGGATCGAGCACGCCACGCAGACCTAAACTTCGCTGTATGCATTGCTCCGCCTAGTCACATAAGTTATATTTTTTGGGGACTTTCACTCCACGTACAGTTGTCCTGTCCTGTTGTCTTTGTGCCCTCGGTTGTTCGGGGGATTTTTTGTGCGCTGGACTTTTATTTCCTCAGGCGCGTTACTCGCTGCAGTTGTAAGGGATCTATTTTGGCGCACAAAACAGTCCGCGGTCGAAAGTGTCTCGTCTTCGCAGGCCATTAGGGCTACATTGTCACCTGTTACCAACCCCTCCAAAAATATAATCATTGTTTAAGTATTTCAGAGTTCTCGTGTATGTTGTCCTAGGGCCTTACCACAAGCATAAGAACATTGTATCTTCTCATTTCGCGCTATAAAAATATCTACTTAATATTCAATGAATAAGACAAGTTTTCATTGCTCCATAAGGTTTAAAGAATGTGGTTACACGTGCTTGCTAGCAAGGCAGACGCGTTTTTCTCAATCAAATAATATTACAAAGTTTTCCCGCTTACGATATTTAAACATGGTCATAAAAAAAGGTTGTGTCATTGCATAGTGACCATACTTTTGTCCTGAGTGTCGATGCTGCGAAGCTTACGTAAAAATTGTGTCTTAATACTTTTTCAATGGTATCGTTTTTTAAGACAGTTTTTGTTACTTCAACGTAAAGTAAACAACAACTGCATATAGATAACAATAATAAAACCAGTTAGTAACCATATTTGTGGTTTGAAACACTGAAACTCCATTTATACATGATTATTACTTGAACTTAGCAGAATCGAAACCCAGTAATGTTCACTATGCAATGACACAACTATTTCAATAATAATATTTATATATATTTAGCAGTCTACCTTCAATTTAAAATCTGTGAAACAAGCAACTATATCATATGCGAAAGATAAAAACAGAGCAAAAGGAAAATGCTATTGCAATTAATTTGCGACCCTCCCCGGCTTTGCACGGGTGCAATGCTGATACTAAATATACTACAGAATGTCTTTATATACAACGTTCACAGCTTGTACCGCCGCAACCCCATGTCTCTGCATTTAAAATCTGTAATATCATCGAAAATATTAATTTAAATAACATGCTGTAAAGGGCCATATTGATCTATATTACATGCACAATGTATATAAGGTACTTAATTCGATGAGGATTAATGCTGTATTGCTTAAAATCGCTTTTTCGTAAATAAGCCATTATTTTCTCGTAATAAGTAAAGGATAAAAAATGGTTATTGTGGGTTATCCCTAAAAGATAGACATATACCATCGCGGACTTTTTGTAGGCCTATTTAAGGTGTACAATACTGTAGTGCATTATTTTGATCTATCTCGTAGGGTTCAGCCAGCGTTTGTAATGTAAGCGCATAATATGTGTTTATGTACGACCTTATATTCAAAACCTCTAAAATTATCAGTGTTTCTGAACTATATTATGCATGTATTATAGATATAAACCTTCCTCTTGAATCACTCTATCTATTAAAAAATACCGCATCAAAATCCATTGCTTAGTTTTAAAGATCTAAGCATACATAGGGACAGACAGACAGCGGGAAGCAACTTTTCTTTATACTATTTACTGATATCAAAATAATTATTCTGACGATGCAGACCTGAAAAAGCTGCGAAACGCCAATAAATAAATAATGTCCGTGCATTAACCCGTTAAAACTAGTTTTATTTGAAACAAATATCAAAATTATTAATTGGCATAAAGCTCTTGAGGATAATTGTATTTATTAAATACTTACCCGTGTTACTTACCATGGTAAACTACTACTAGAATTAGCTAGTGTCTCTAAGTTTTCTATTAACATTATTCTACAATGCATATAATCTCCATAATGTTAAAAAAATATCCCTTTATCCCTTGGCCACGCCATAACTTAAACGAATAAGAACAATAATAATACAGAAAAGTAATGAACAGTGGATACATTTTTCACCCCATGATGTGAATGTAGCGAAATGGCTAAGCCAAATATTGACCAAACTGTAGAGTTTGTGAAGTTAGTGCGTGCAAAGTAAGAAGCTTGGCTCTTCATGAGATCTGATATTTTTTTGACATTGCGAAACATAATGGACTTGTCTTGGCAACATTATGCATGAAAATGTTTTTGGGGGTAAAAATGTAGAAAATTTCAATACTTTCTTCCAAAAAGTACTTAATGGACAGCAATAAAGGAGTCATTTCTGGCATGATTCTCTAATCTTAAATGTGATGACTGTGTATTTCGTCATACCATTTACAGGATGAAAAGAAGAGCCTGATTATAAATTTAGTTTTACGTTTAGAAAATCATGCCAGAATCGATACCACTGCCTACCTAACCTAACTTTATCAAGCTAAATTATCAAATTATTTAGTAATATACATAAATGATTAAAATAATACAATTCCTCCACTATCATGCAAGCCCAAAAAACGGCAAGGAATACGCTTACTATAGCCTTTTTACTTACTATCACATTAGGATGAGCAAATACCAATCAGATAAATATATTTTTAGTTTTAATTGTAGCTTTCCCTTCTTCTTCCTATTGATTTCCTTTACGCCCATTATTGTTCCCTGTCAGCTATCAAATTATCATGTGGAAGCTAATTGATTAGATATAAACTCTCAAAATAAAGGTTCTGCCAGCGAGTTGCTAACTACAATATCCTTTTCTTAGAAGGCAGTAGATGGAAGGATTGGCTACTCGCTAACCCTTTCTTCTCACTAAATGATTAGATACTATCCCATAGAACCAAGATTCTACCTTGCTAACTAACCTGACCAATATACTTTTGTTTAAATAATTCCATTGTCACAGCAGAAGGCTGTAGATAGAAGGATTGATTCTGGCTACCCTTCTTCGCGGCGTAATCATTGATGTTTTTGCTTATCCCACAGCATAATAATGAAAACGATCGTCCCTAGTCTAAATTTACTGTACGCTCATTATTGTTCCCTCGACTTCCAATTCCAACTTATCATCTCGAAGCTAAATGATAAGATACGATCCCACAAAACATAGGTTCAACAACACCAAGATTCTGCCAGCGAGTTGCTATCTATCCTTTCCGAGATACTTTTTTTAAGTAATTCCGTTCTCACGACAGAAGGCAGTAGATGGAAGGATTGGTTGCTTGCTACCCTCCTACTCGGCGCTGTCATTGGCGCGTGGGCAGCACTGCGAGCGGACCGCGCGAGTCGTACCAAGATGCAGACTATGCTCGACGAAATGGACCAGCTGCGTAAAGCGGAGATGGCGCTAGAAGATATGCAGAAAGACCTGGACAGAGCTAAGCAGGAACAGGTATGGAGGCTATAGAGCACACTTCATAACGGTTGTGAAGCTAGCAGTGAGCGCGATTATACGCTGTTTCAGTCCAGTGACATCCCGCGTGCGCCTACATTACTCTTCATTTCGTTTACTACGTAGCTACTTGCGCTAACTTCACAGCCGTCATCATCTTTGAATCGCACTCTCACGACTAATTGTAATAGGTTAACGGATAAAGAATGCGCATGCATAGCTGTATTGAAATAACATACTCTATTTTACAAAATAATAACAATACTACAGTATTGGTTGACCTAACTGCACTAAGATGAAAAGGGCTGAGCCGTCCTTTTGCAGCCGTGATGCAGCTCTAATGACTCCGAACTAACAGACCTTAGTTAAAAAGTCTATTTAATGTTTATACTACTGACACAAAAGTGAAATATTAAATTTCTAGAACAATGATCAAATAATAGCATGTTCCTCTTTATAACATATGTTTTAAACTTTCATGGTCACTTATCACGGTGTTACTCCGTGATCATAGCACTTGCAACAGTGCCGAAATATCGGAGACTCGCTTAAAATAAGGTAGGTACGTGGTAGCAATCCTCTAAAAAACATAAATTACTATAGTTTTCCTCTTTATTCCATTACAGGAAAACGTGAATACAGAAAAAAGAAATTTGGAGAAGAAGCTGAAAGAGGCCGGCGATACACCCATGCTGAACGCGGCGTCGTCTGACCTAGAAGTGTCACAACTCAAAGCCGAAATAGAGGTAAAGTTCTCTACGCACTATCCATCTTGCTGGATCCACCGTTCGAGACACGCTATACACGTAAAAGATATCCTATATCTCCATCTCGTACGTGTATAGCGGCAGCTTCTTTCGTTGATACATACAATCTCCGGCCAATCGAGTCGCGAGTGACTAGATTTCTTCTAGGCAAGAATAATCGTTTTTTCTTCAGGCCAGACTTGGTCAAATGTATACCTGTACAATATGTAAATAATGCAGAGCAAAAAAAATTGGTGTGGTTTTATGAAATCACGATGCCATTGAAACTTGTAAAATCTATAATAAATGTTCTGCCTCCGCGTGGCTTCGGGTAGCTTTCTACCACTGAACCACCGATGCTTGTTGAAAAGGACTGAAATTTTTAATAACAGTTAAAAATAGAATGCGACTTGCTTATGATGAATAAAAAAGTTGCGACGATGTAATAAAAGATTCAAATTCAAACTCGTTTATTCAGTCTAGGCTGTTTCAAGCTCGTGTGAAAGTCAAACGCTACGCTATCGGTTCGTAAATCTACGGCGGGAGACCTTGTATTGGGAAGAACCGGCAAGAAACTCAGCAAGGTCTTCTTTTTTCTCCCTGTTTTTCACTTTAAAAGTAACAACGTGTAATGATGGTATTGTCAATCGTTTCTCGTCAGATGTTAAGAGCTGAACTTCGTCGCGCGGAAGGTGAACTCGAAGACAGATGCTGGGCCCCGCCAGCCGGTCTGCAGCAGTGGCTACAACTCACTCATGAAGTCGAGAACCGCTCCTATCTTCGGAAGAAGCAGCAGGCGGATATGCAGCTGCAGCAGGCGAGAGAAGCGGTCAGTTCATACTCTTATTCATTACTACTAGTAGTAGTCTATAAAACAGATAGTCTGCAGCAGTAGCTACAACTCAATCAGGAAGTAAAGAATTGTTACTACCTTCGGAAGAAGCAGCAGGCGGATATGCAGCTGCAGCAGGCGAGGGAAGCGGTCAGTTTATACATTTATTCATTACTACTAGTAGTAGTCTATAAGACTAATGGTCTGCAGCAGCGGCTACAACTCACTCAGGAAGTCGAAAACCACTCCTACCTTCGGAAGAAGCAGCAGGCGGGCGAAGTGGTCAGTTCATACATTTATTCATTACTACTAGTAGTAGTCTATAAGACTGATGGTCTGCAGCAGTGGCTACAACTCACTCAGGAAGTCGGGAACCACTCCTACTTTCGGAAGAAGCAGCAGGCGGGAGAAGCGGTCAGTTCATTAATGCACTTATTTATTACTACTAGTTCATCCTTTTAGTTCTTTTGTTACAGTTACAGAGTACAATCATCAAGGCAAAGTAAAAATTACATTTATTTCACATCAATTTAGATAAGTGGTAGGGGTTTCTTTTTCCTCAGCACAGAGTTGTAGGTAATGGGATCTGATGTCTAATTGGCTGCATTAGTAAATGGCCATTGCACACTGATTAACAACCTTCATGGTAGTGTTATACCTAAACACCGTTTTTGTATCAAAAAGTGTCGTCTACACAGAGATACTGTATTCATGCTCAACAAAAATATCCTCATTTAAGTGTCTATCATTATAGATATTTCGATCCGTTACCCTATTCCATCATAACATAAGCTTTACAGTGCTTACTTTGGGGCTAGGCTGATTAGTGTGGATGTCAGAAATTATAACTTTTCTACTAACGTAAAGTAAACTAAGAAAATTTTGATAGAAAATAAAACCACGCGGACCAGGCGGCAGACTGGACACGGCCCTAATGTTCATCTCCAATTTTCTCTAGTGTTTCTTAGGCTACAAGGCAGCGCCACCTCTTCACATGGTAGGCAGCTTTCGATTTTAATATCTGGCCTTAAAAAATGGAACTATAAAATAATGTTATTGTTCTACATATTAACATTAATGATTATTTTGTTATTGTTCAATATTCGAACAGCTCGATGGCGCAGGTGGTTAACGCGATCGGCTGCGATCGTAGAAGTTAAGCAACTTTCGCAGTGGTCGGTCATTGGATGGATGACTAAAAATCTTCTATCTCGAGTTCCTTCGTGCTTCGGAAGGCACGTTAAGCCGTTGATCCCGGCTGCAGCTTACAGTCGTTAGCGCCCGCCAATCGTCACTGGGCTCGGTGAGTCCTGGCCCAATCTCTCTATTCCATTCAAAGGGCCAAGGCCTGTGCCCCAGCAGTTTGGGACATTAATACGCTGATGATGATGATGATGATGTTCAATATTCAGTGCGAGAAGCTGCGCAAGAAACGTTCGAGTCTAGTAGGTGCGTTCGTATCGACGCACGGCAAGTCCATCGACGACGTCGACCGCTCCATAGTGGAGGCGCGCACGGCACTTAACGAAGTCACTCAAGAATTACAGGTAAATATATAATAATATTTCCTATCATTTTTACGACTCTTATTGTGGTGCCATTCAAATACGGTTGTCGTTTTAAGGGTTCCGTACCTCAAAAGGAAAAAACGGAACCCTTATAGGATCAGTTTGTTGTCCGTCCATCCGTCCGTCTGTCAAGACCGTTTTGTCAGGAACTGGTGTGGTATCAAATTGAAATTCATATCTAATACTCATGTCTACTGTCCCTTGGAGCTGTGAAAAAAACAAACTTCTAAGCCAAATCAATGAAAAGATACAACCGTTTATGCCGCAAATTTTCGTGGACTTAGAATCTTGGAATATGGTACGAAGTAACGTCTTATATAACGTTGCGAAAACCGTAATTTTTTAGTTACATCATATAATAAAAAATATTTTTGAAAATTTTAAAGTTACTACCTCTTTTCTCTTGAACGCGTAGAGGTATTAAATTGAGTTTGTACGGAACCCTCGGTGGGCGAGTCCGACTCGCACTTGGTCGTTTTTTTTTTTAGTGTGTATGCTGTTGGTCGCAGATGACCTTTACAGCGTCACCGGGTTTGGGGACGGCGAGATTCTAAGAGGACCTCAAACCGAAAATTGGCGAATTGAAAGAGCGTGGGAGTTGGCAACGAGCGCAACTATGCGCAGATTTTAGCCAATGAAACTCATAGATGCACTATATTATAAAAACCACGGTGAAATCCACGGCTTGCGCAGACTTCACATCATGTACATGTCCAGACTTCAAAACTTTATACTGAATTCATCGATTGAATATTTAGACAAAAACAAAATAATATTTGACACGTATTACTGCTATCTGGCAGAATTCTAAGGCTAAAAACTTTTAATACAAGCCGATGTAGATTAAAGCTTCCTCTAACTAACGCCGTAATTAATCTACAGGAGAGAATGCACAGATGGAAACAGATTGAGCGGCTGTGCGGTTTCAACATCATAAACAACAACGGCTTGCAGTTCCTTGAGACGACTCTATACAGAAACGTGAACGGCCGCCCTGTGGGCAGAGGTAATTTTTAACAATGCTAAAGAAATCTAAAGAAAATATAACTAGAAAAAATTCCACGCGGACCAGGCAGCAGACGGGACTCGAACCCGCACCCTTCGCAATCCGGGCGAATGCACTGACCAATTATGCGAAGGGTGCAGGTTCGAGTCCCGTCTGCTGCCTGGTCCGCGTGGAATTTTTCTTAAGGCTTAACTTGCCTTCCGAAGCACGGAGGAGCTCGAGATAGTAAATTTTTGGTCACCCATCCAATGACCGACCGTTGCGAAAGTTGCTTAACTTCAAGGATCGCAGCCGAACGCACTAACCACTTGCGCCATCAAGCTCCGCAATCAATGACAATGCTCGATCTTATTCTCAACGGAATACGTGACATATTCGCATCCCTAACAACTATTGTTTGTTCCAGTTCGCATGAGTAGTTCCCAAGACGATCTAAGTGTGGGCGACGACGCATCAATCTGCGGCTCAGGTAAGGCCGCGGAAGAGGGGTCGCTTTACCATGAACATATAGATTAACATATATATGTTACTATCTTTAACCAAGAACATGTAGATTGACACATAAATATCTCGTACGGTTGAACCAAGATCTTGTGGCACTTGATGACATTGACAGAGGGGCTGCTGGTAAAATGAAATAATGACAAAACAGGTGGGTACGTAAAATCGCCTCACGCAGGGAACGTTATAATTTGCAATAGTTCGGAAATAATAAAATACATAGCCTTAACGACACCTTCCTTTATAAATAAAAACGTTTTTTTTTTCCCTTTCTAAAATAAGTTCCGGTTTCGGCGACGCTCCACAAGATCTTGGTTCCACTGTAATTATAATATTTAGGGGGTAGGGTTACCATTTGTACGGATATGTTCGGACTTTTATGTTTTTGTCCGTTTTTTTTTTTTGATTAGTAGGTATATGCTTAGCGGAAAGAAGGAACATAGAGACATCAAATCAATAATTATGTTACAAATTCGCACCGTGATTATATTTTGTGTTCTTAAACGAGATTCAGCCCATACAAGAATATCAAAAGGTTAAATCTAGATTTAAAAATTAGTCCACTTGAAGTAATTATGCAAGATTTAGCCCATAGAATAATCAGATTTTTTAAAGATTCGGCTAAAATGTGCAACTCTTTTTATCATTCTTATTTCTCAATGGTAATCCTAACCTGGGCTTTAATCTACAGCTTTTACTAATTCCTCGAACCCTTTTATTTCGTATTTAAGAAAAAGATAGCTTGCCTCACATTGATACTTGGTTTAGATGTGAAGAGGATTGGACGGAATCAGTAAAAGTTATAATTAGCTCCTTATTACGAAATAGATATAGTAACGAACGTTTTCTGGATTAACACGTGTGATAATTTTTGCATAAGCAATAAAGTCTTTCAATTTACTCGATCTTTATTGTAATAGGTAGCCAGTTGTTTTTTCTCATGGCTAATTAATTACAATAACATTTTAAACCCCTAACAAACAGTGAGCCTAGAAATAGAAAATCACAAACATTTTATTTGTGTGTTGTTTTAAATAAGTAGTAGGTACTTAACTACAAGAAGGAATTGAATTAGAAGCATCCTTTGCCTTCTTAATACAAATAAAATAATTGGGTTTTCCCTTAGGCTATTTTACATGATAAACATTTGACGGATAAAAATCTTTAAAAATATATAAAATGATTCTCTTTTTTTACCGTAGTTGTGTAACCGTAAAATCAACTTTTATGAACTTTAAGCGACTCAGTATTACCACGAATCGATTAAATTAGTTTAAAATCTTAGGTACAAGCTTCAGCTTCCTAAGAATAGTATTTTTCATTTCCTAATAATTCTAACATTATTAATATTTAGTATTATAGAAATGTATTGTTTTTTTTGTTTAAATTTAGTTAGGTTTATTTGGAGTATACCTTTCATTAGTGTTCGTGGTAATACATAGAAATATTTGTTTATTTAGTAGGATTATGTAAAGTAGGCAGCCATTTTAAACTTTTTACTTAATACAATAAACGTAAGTAATTGATGAATTTCATCATCATTATGAATTTTGGCCCTGAAATTAGTTGTCGGACTATACTTAAGTGTATCTAGATGGTATTTTTAATCTATGAATTACATAACGTATTAGATAACTTATGATCTTTACATGATACCTTTAAACAAAGTAGAAATACGACAAAACAACGAAAATCTATATTTAATTAAAGTACCTACTCATTACCAAATTGTGCCAATGTGGAATAAAAATAATCAATAAATAGTAGAAAACTAGTACAAAAGAGCAGTTATGAAAACTAGAAGGTTCTATGTATATCAATAAGTGATAATTATCGTCACGTATCAAAGTAGTCAGTCATTGGAAATATTTATAACCGAAAATAACCGAGCTTGCTAGTATATATTTAACGCTTAAATTTTACAGATTATTTATATTATTTTTCACATACCAAAACAGTTTAGAATAGATAAAGAGAAAAATGTACACTTCAATAATCCGGGAGCTCTATTTATGAATCACTCGTTTGAAATCTTAAAGTTGTATACGACTTATGTCTCATTCGATACCTAAGCCGAAATAATCTTTCTGCATTTTTTAATCTTTCATCTCGGTACGCCAAGGTGACGCGATACATTGAATATTATTAGTTTCGTTCAGATAAAAGTAGAACACTGACACATTATTGCAATGAAATCTAGATGTATATGGGGAAATGTACTACGCTATGTAACGATAAGAAAAATAAATTGTCAAATGAAGTTTGATGTTTTGTCGTTTATTCTATAGTCGTCTATAGCATTCGTCTTGGAGCTGTGGTTGATAGCACCTGGTCGTAGTCTAGCTAATCAAAAATAGAGTTTCTTACGGCCAACGAAAATTAGTAGAAAACGAATAGGAGACGAATGATTCAGTAATAGGGCCCCCCAGGTCTTATTATAATAATATGGTTACCTAAAGGTAACTGTAGATTTTAGCATAATCTAATAGCGCTCAAATTTATGTTTAGATAAATCAGTTAATTTATTCTTTGTACTTAAATTCTAACTATGTATAAACAACAATAGAAGCATCATTATTAAAATTTGCATCATGAATAAGTGTTCTGATCTAAATAGCTTTGGCTTTACATCTTTATGCATTTAAAATTCCTATTGAATGATATATAATTCTTTATATGCAAAAGACAGGGTTCTATTTAAAATATTAGAATAAATCATAAGCACACACATAAATATGCTCTGGAAATATTCTTCATTCTACTGTTTGTGGTAAAATTTTGTGTTTGACATGTATATAATTATTCCTTTTTAGTTACCGGTTAAACCAAAAACTTGATTGAAACAAACAGCGGCAACAGAAAATTTACAAAATCATCATTATTATGTTTTTTTATTTATACAAAGAGATCATTATAAATTCCTATTTATGAAACTTGATCTCTCTTGAACTTTTTGTACGAAAAAACTTTTATATTTAGGTACGTGATATTTTTTTCTGATCTTTCGTGTGCTAGTGTCTAAACGATTTATAGGAAATTTGATGTCACTTTCGAAATAAAAAACTTAATTATATAGATGTGATATATATACATATATATGCACATCTTCACTGTCCACAGAAACATATGCAGTTTTACCACATTACTCATAAATATGAGATTGCACTTAAGGTCACCACAGTAGATTTTAAAAACATTAATATACACAATTCAAGGTTTAAACATAATTGATTGAGGTCTTCTCGCAGCAATTTTGCTAAATCTCTGTTTATCTAAAACTAGATTTAGCCCATACAATTATGTCAATATTGACATTTTTCTAAGCGTTAAATCTAGTTTTACTTATTTTGGGATTGGCGAATTTGCTGCAGGTAGGCTTAAATGTGCCTTAAATAGTATTGCGTTATCAGACGTGTTGTTTGTTGAGTGTTCTGCAAAGAAATTTAACGAGTGGCATAACTTATGCTTCCATAAATTATGTTTGGTCGATTGTACTTAGAACTAACTTCAATTTAATAACTCCACCACAGTAGATACTTATAAGGTATTTTTACTTAAATGCAACTGTGCCAAAGAGTGCAAAATGGTGGAGCAGCTGGCTATCTCCCTCGCACTCTGGCGTTTTATGATGATAATTTGCCAATATAATAATACAGGATCCCAAGACTACCAGACCTCACTTATTTACTCATGGACGAAATATGGATTATCTAGTATTAGTGTGTACAACGAACGTATACATACTCGCTAACTTGTGCTATGGGCCAATTTTCACGAATCAGGTGGCACAGGTACGTAAAGATTTTACTCACTTTACTTACAGGCTGGGAACTGATTATTACGTATGTTGTAGAGAATATTGTAAACAATTTGAAATTAATACTGCCTGACACATTCTGTTCGCAGTATTTATTGCCAAACACTTTAAATGTCGAAAGCAAAATCACAAAACTTACTTACAGTCTGAGACCTGATATTTATCTATGATATTTAGGGGCCTATTATTATATTTTGTGAGCTGCCGGTTAAAACTTCGGAGCCAAAAATTCCCTAAGCTTATTTGAACTGCCGCTGTGAGGACAGGCGCGCTCATGCTTATTAAGCGTCTTTTTAATACAGTTTCATTAAAGTTATGTAATAAAGAGGATACAGAAAGACTTTTACAATAATTAAATAACTTCTTTTTATCTAATTATCAAAATTATTTCAGACAATAAGCAAGTTTGTGTATTTTTTTTATAAATACTTCAAACAGAATGTGTTGTTAGGCAGTATTAATTTCAAATTGTTTACAATATTCTCTACAACATACGTAATAATCAGTCCCCAGACTGTAAGTAAAGTGAGTATAATTTTTACGTACCTGTGCCACCTGATTCGTGAAAATGGCCCACAGCCCAAGTTAGCGAGTATGTATACGTTCGTTGTACACACTAACACTTTCGTCCATGAGAAAATAAGTGAGGTCTGCTAGGTTTGGGATCTTATTCTATAAGTATAATAAAAAAAAATTAGGCAACTGCTTACCTAATTTATATTGAATAATTTCAAGTTCCTGAATAAGATCTGTCTATGTAAAAGTAGGCTTTAGGGTTGCCAACTTTGTTTCTTATATAAAGCAGATAGCAGATACAGAAAATACAGCCGATAGAGGTTTATTGTCTGTAGCGCACCATATAATTTTATTTATATCTCAAAACAAAGTTTTATAATGTAAAATAAACTTGTTCTAGAAATGTACTATTCCGAGCACACTGCATTACACATAGGCACCACAATGTGATTCTTAGCTCAAAGACTGTTGGTGAAAGGATTCTTTCTTTTCTTCATACAGCTCTGCCCAATTTTGTACCTCAAGAATTATCGTGCATTTATGTGATGTGTAGAAAAATAACCCGAAGTTATCAAAAATATAAATTCAGTTTATTATCCAATTTTACCACATAAAAATATCGTTTAAACATATAAATTAATGGCAACACATAAAACGAATTATGGTAAATGTGCATCTTTAAATTAATAACAATAAGCTACGGAAATCAGCTAATTTTTTATACAACCAATCACAATCAAGGAAGTGAATTAAACAAATAGTGTTACCTATCATCTGTCAGTCAATGACAAAATGCGTCTTAAGTAATAACGTTTCTTTATACGCAGATTTTTTCCCCTATTCTATTCAGATTTTCAGCAAATTTTTATATAATTTACTGAGATTTTGAGAGTGAGTCTTTTAAAGTATAATTTTAGATGTTTTTTGAGATAATTTGTATCAAGTTACAAAATTGGCCAAAAATCGAAGGTCTCCTTTGTCAGTTTTGGGTAGCTCGAGCCATGATTTCACCATTACCAGTACCATTAAATATATTATGAAGTGTATTTAAGTGTAAACAGTTATATAAACAATATTATGTAAAGGTTGGCAGCCCTTGTTATATTCGAAGCTATTAAGTATGGCTATTTATTTTTTTAGAATGTAAATGTGTTGCAATATGTATTATTGTTATTTTTTAATTAAATTTAATAAATAGTTTTTTTAAAGTTTGTTTTATATCACAATCGGTAGGAGGCTTTCAGACTTCCGGTAAATGGCTTTCCTTACAATAATGTAAGGTTATTAATTAAGAAGAGATTTTTTAATAATCACCCATTATTGGCACTTTTGAGTTTAGTTCAAAAAAACAAGGAAACAATAGATTATCGGAATAGTGCTGCCAATTTTATAATTAAACTAGGTTTTTGTTTTTGATATGTACAGTTGGCTTTATAAAAATCGAAGTGTGAAGACTGATCAAAATTATAGAAGATACATAAATTAAATTTTATATGCGCTGTTATATAACCTTATTGTTGTAACCGGCCAGAGTGGTCAATATTATCGAAACAACATGATTCATAATTTTGTTATTGGTTAAGATAATCAATTATATATTCGTGAATAACTGTTCAATGGTATCTAATCACTCAAAGTTATCAAAAGTATTTTGGTAGTAAAGAAAAGTGAACGCTAATCTGAGGTGTTACGGTTCTTATGTTTTCATTTTCATGTGATCGAGGTGTCTGTTTGGACCTAAAGGCGCGCGCGATTTCATTAGGCAACTATAATTTAATTGTTTTTTTTTTATTATGTATGCACGGTGAAAATTACATGCAACTTGAACAAACCTGCATATAAGCTACAAGTTGCGTATCGGTTGTACATTTTTATTCAAGTGACGCGCAAATTCAAAGCGCAAACGTTATTTGCATCATTCACTTTAGTTAGTTAGTTACACGTTCAAACGTGAACTTACCCAATTGGGAACATCTCCACTTGTATGCAAAGTAAAACTTGTATGCAATTTACACACTCTCGAAAACATATTTTTGACGCTAGCAACTTGTATTTGCAACGTCATACTTGTACGCAAAACTTGCGTAATGGGACGCACACATCATTTCAACTTGGAAGCGAATCGATAACGACTCTCCTTCCGGCTTGCCATCAAACAGGCGTCCACCTATATTTGATTAGAGAAAGCGAATAAGTAGCTCCAGTACGTCGACTCGGCTACGGCTAGTCGACGCCACGCATACAGCTCGCTGACCGCTGGTTGCAAGTTAGGCGGCACTAGGACGTGTGTTAGCGGGAGGGGCGTGAACGAAGAGACGTAAGCTAGAGTACGGAGTCATACATATCCCGAGTCGAGACGATTACGTACAATTCCGATTAGTGTGCGTTGCAGTATGTAGTTTTATACAAAGAATACTGATCGAATAATGAATGATATACCCTTTAATTTAAATTAAATTGAATAATCCATGTAAGCGAAGATATTTAAGAGTATTCTGGACGCTTAAATACTAATGAACAGTTTTGACGCGTACGTATTTAAGAATATTGTAATGGTGTATATGTATTTGGAGACTTGAATATAAGACTGTTTGGTTATGTATAATATTTTTATGAAGCTGACTGTACAGAGCTTGAATAATTTATTGTTTCCTTGTTTTTTCGTACTAAACTCAAAAGTGCCAGGAATAGGGAGAATGATTGGGTCGATGCCCCTAAGTAAGTTTTTTTTTAAAACTGGATAACATGTGATGAGTAAGAAATCATACTACTTAATTTGATTTTTGTACTGTCGCCTGGCCGCGTAATGGATTCTCGATAAGTGTCTTTTTTAACTGTGTATTTTATTACCATTTAGGATTGAGTCAGATTCTACAAGGAAATAAAAGATACATCGCATAATTGCGTTCGTTATATGTAACCCAATACAAATAAAATGTCATTATACAAAATCAGCATTAAAAATCTATGTTAAATTAGAGTCCGGATTAGTCCATCCGTCCGGACACAGGAGACGCAGGTTCGAAACCTGCCTGACACCTAGATCGAATTAAAAAAATATAATAAATCACAGGTACCATTTTTTTTAGTAGAATAAAATTGTCAGAAGAAAGCATGTATGGAATAATACTAAAATAGCACTTACAAATAAAGTATATACTACATATTTGTTTTATAACGGTGTGGGCTTGTTATCCTTGTGCATGCATATAGAAACATCATCGCATATTATTTTTTGTTTTAAAAAAGATATTCGTTATAACTATTTTTATTAATTAAAATCTTCAAATTTGTTTTTGCTTTGTATCCTAGCAAAAGCGTGTGTTGAAGTGCTGATTAATTATTTTTTTATTAGTTGAAACAAATAAATTTTATTACTCGTAAATATATTTTGCATAATCCTTTGAATCTAATTGCTTTAGTATTTTAATGTCATATTAGCCAGAGGACCTTTTATTCGGAACTAGATCGGTTGGTTAACGTTTGCTTGTATATTTTCAAGAGCAAATGTTTTCGATTTATATATTTTTTGAATAAAACTATTTGTAAGTGGACTTTATCTCTCAAATAAAGGAAATGGGGTAATAAAGAGTTGAGAGCAGTTTCGACGTATTAGAATGACAAACAAGAATCAATTTAGAAATTCTAACACCGATAGTGCATTGGTTGGTTTGAAATTTGCCGAGTTCAGAAAATCAAATACCTTCAAAAGTATGCAATGAGATTATACAAGTAAATCGAAAAGTTCGACGTATGCAGTACATAGCAGTACTGTTCTAGCTCCATCATATTCTTATTTTTATAGCACCACAAATTAATCGCTATGTGCGTTTGTCGCAAATTCGGAACTGGGTTATTATAATTATGATAAATTATTTCACAAAGGCTGGTTTATTACAAAAAAAAATATTTCAAGTGGAAGCTAATTTAGAAATATAATTTTCTTGTTTATCTCGCTTAGCAATAAAATTATATCAAATAAGATAATAATTACGAACAATATATTCAAATATTAATCTTATATTTCCTTGTTTATTATTATATTTAGTATACTGTAAAAGTCAATCCCGTCCTTAAAAAATAAACATATGAATTTAATATTTACTTCAGCCTTTCTGAAATAATTTTAATGTAAATAGCCAATTACTATCATATAATATAAATATTTTTCTTGCACGTTTGAAAGCTTTCAACGATTGTGATTTTGTTTTATTTTTGCCATCAACCCACTATCCTTGGTTTGCTAGTTTTTTTTTATTCTACCATAGACTACATTTGCTTTCAGTGTATAATATAGCATCACTTGTTGTTCCACTGATCAGGTAAGAATCATAGATTTTTATATGAAAATCCCGCTTTTTGTCATATTAACACGAGTCTTATTGCTTTTATTTATTGGTATGTTACACAGCAATGACTAAAATTATTTCATACATGCTTTTATTGTATTATAACATACCTTACATCTACACATCAAATCTAAACTGTTCATAAGGAGAATTTAGTGTGGGTCGTTGACCTTACACTCAAATAATCGGGAAACTAACGACGCTACGAAATATATGCGTTTAAAAGAAAAAATATTTAAAAATGGCATTTTACCAGTAATATAAAATAAAACAAAAATTGTAGACACAATCCATACACGAAAACCCAAATATCCCAGAGTTAAAAAAAATACTCTATATGTCAATATTTCGTATCCAGCTGCGCTCAAAATTTTGTATAAGATTAATTTCATAGTTGATATGTTTATGTATAATAACGCAGATCATGTCTTATATAATATGAAAATCCATAGCTGTTAAACTACTTTTTGGTCATGAGTACTGTTGACCATAAAGTGGATCACATCATACATAACATAGTTATTTGATTTCGAAATCGAAACTTGTACCTTTCTGTAGTGATGTTTCGTCTGTTTTCACAGTGGCGGAAAACTTTGGCTGGCGTGAAGACTCGTCGGGCAGCGAAACCGATGCACCACACTACCCGCTGGATCTGAGACTTGCTGAAGCTAGGTCAGATTCTTTTTTCATATTTTACATACAGATATTACGATTCAAACTTTATACCGACTGTGAAATTAGCAGCGAGTGCAACTCTACGCGAGTTTCAGTTTAGTCAACCCCGCACGCATCTGTATTGCGTTTACTATGCTGCGACTTGCGCTAACTTCACAGCTAACTTTTAAATTTGGATTGCATATTACATAAGTGTTTTTGTATCTATATTCTATTAGTTGTCCGATCCATATTACAACACAACAATGACGCTAACTATCAAAAAAAGAAAGTGCCCAAATCCAGCATAGTGTTATAGCCTTGGTGTTTAAAGTCAGTATAAATTTAGCAAATCATTCTTCAAATAATTTTGTACAGGTTGCAATTAGAAGAGCGTTTAGCGCAAGAAGCGCGTGAGAGGCGTCAAGATGAAAAGAAATTAGAGGATTACAAAATTAAAACTTCTTTCAACGACGTTCGGAAGAGTCCCGTGGACGACAGGCGGAGGGAACAAGTCCACTTCGTCTTGGGAGGTGATAAGTAAGTACAGTTTCTATACTTCATCATCTTAAGTTTCCACAGATTTTCAACAATTCGCCTGCAATAGGTACTCGTTTCTGTTTTAAGATTTTTTGTTCATATTCTTAACTGCAGCCCGTTTATATAAAAAATGTTTTTTTTATACTATATAAATAGAATGTTCAACCAAAGACATAGAAAAAAAAAATGTCTAATAAAACGAAGTCATTTTCAATTCTGATGTCTCCTGACCCGCTTTTTCGCTTAAAAGTGTAAACAGATAAGTTTTCCTTTGTTGAGAATGCGTAATTGCAGTTAGGACCTTCTATTCATAAGGAACCTTGTTAATATCGATCAAAGATATTTGCAATTTGTCCTTTATTTTAAATGCACTAGATCATGTTATAGATAAAATTGGAATAGTAGTTTGAATTTCGAATTCACTTTTAAATATCTTTAATGCAGCAGAAACTCTTTCGATTTCTGGACATAATAAAAAAGTTGGTAAACTAATAGGAAAATTCTTGGTCCATGGACCAAACGCAAAATAATGTCAAATTTATGTCACAGGAAGGTGGCAAATCTGTCACGTCAAATATGATTGTTCAGGAAATAACATATTTATTTATTACATTTAAGCAAAATTCTCCATTTTTGTTTTGAAATGGTTGTAACAAAATAAGCTTATGGTGGGTCAGAAATGAAATTGGCTGATCGTCCATGGTTTCCCAGAAAATTCAGATGTTTTTGACATTCTCGATGGATTATTGCAACCGAAACTGAATAAACGATCATTATAATTATATTGTCTATAGTACGTCCAGTGTGAGCTAAACTCCTGACTTGATCATTGCAGCAAATAATATCAATGTATAATATAAATAGTCTTCGTTTCTCTTGTGTAGCGTGAACTGGACAGGCGAGGATCTGCAACGTGCGCCTCACTCGCAGTCCCAACCGCAACTGCGCGCATCCGTACGCGGCGTCCCGCTCCCCCCTCCCCGCCGGCCTCTGTCGTCCGGCGCGATGGTGCGCTCGCGCAGTACCGACGTAGTGCCCTACACTGACGACCCGAGACCGCCGCCCCGGCACCCCTTCACTAAACACAAGACTCTCGCCGAAGGTGAGTACCAAAACTTTAAAATAGGTATCTCGGACAGCCCTCTGTGCAGAGCCTGGATGGAGGAAGAGGAGACGAGCATCACGTCCTGCTACAGTGCAGAGGCGTGACTAGACAACAGATGACACACCTGGACAGCCCGCTGACGCTACTCGAGTCCTGCGGAGATACCAAGAGACTGCTGAGCTTCTTAGGGGAGTTGGGATGGCATGACTAAAGCCATCCTCTCACGCGAAATAGGCACCTGGTGTCGAATTGCGGAAAACACCCACCGTACAGAAGAAGAAGAAGAGTATCTAAACTTATCCCTCTAGCACCGCAATATGATGATACATCTTTATTCCATCAATCAAGGCCCAAAACCACCGCCCCAACACCCCTTCACTAAACACACGCCAATGGTGAGTAGCAAAACTTGTCCCTCTAGTACCGCGATAAGATGCCAGCAATATCAGCCTCAGCTAATCGATGGCTGATAAATGGATGGAATCCTGGCTGAGGGTAAGTAAATAAACTTGCCCCCTTGTAACGAAGCGATAATCCCCCCCATCTCGTTATTCTTTAATTAGTAACAAGTTTCACCAAAGTGAGTACCAAGATTTGTCCCTCTAGCCGAGCGTCAATACCGGGATTGAAGCACAAGACCTCCCCCCGTAAAGAATGAAATAAAGCTTCACGACCAATCAATGTCAGCAGAACTTCTATTTAGCAAATATTCATATTTTCTAAATGTCTGGATATATCAACACATTTTTTATAAAAAAAAAATCCAAAATTTATTAATGAGTTTTACTGTCTGTCACATGAGTATACACATTTTAAAAATAACGATTTGTTAAATAGACGTTCTGCTTTATATACCATCTGAAAATTGGATGTTTTGCTACATGGACATTTTGCTAATTAGGCTTTCTGCTCATTAGACGTTTCGTGGTGTTAGACGTTTTGCTACTTAGACCTACCTACTACCTTTTGAGCGTGAAGCGAAATATAGATAGGGTCTAATAATATATCAACCAATCAACGTCTTTATTACTGACTCGATGGTGCGCTCGCGCAGTACCGACATAATGCCCGTTTATTAAACAAGTCTCTGGCTGAAGGCGAGCGCTCCGAACTTGTAGCAAAACTTGACCCTCCAGCACCGTCATTCCAGCCTGCCAAAAGTCCCCACTACTGGAACGTCGGCCGAAATTATCACTCGTCATGCGTGTTTAAGTTTAACGACAGATACAAGAATGATGGAGGGAAGATATATTTATTACGCTTTACATAAAAAATAGAAATTATCGAAATCAATTTTTGTCACGTGTTTCAAAACGTCGAAAGTAATTTCACAATGAGACTTTAGTCAATGTAAAATCGACTTTAGACATACGTACGTTAACGCTTATAATACGCTTTGCTCACAGGGACTATACAATCTGAAACGCCCACTCCATCCAGCAACACACCACCCGAGGAAGAATCTACAGATTCCTCTCTAATGGAAGACGAGAGTTTACCAAAACCGCGCAAACGACGCATCCAACTACCATTCGGTAAGAAAAGCAAAACGCCCGCGTGACAAACGTCCCACAGTCTGCGATGCGCGATATGCCTTACACATCACAGCTATTGGGACTGCGGTTGTAGGATAAGGTAGCATGACGACATCATCGCACGGTACAACGGATTAGGGAGATTTTCGATTGAAAAGAGAGCCTTGGATGGTCAATTACGATTGTCAATACAATTTTGTTTTTACATCAAATATTTTATTTGTAACATACGGGTTGCATTGGTGATTACAGATAAAATAAATTACAGCTGTGATCAGTCCTATTGGTTAGCATACAGTCTCATATCTCAATCGATTGTGGATCTTATGTCAAACGGTATAAAGATATTGTTATTGTATTTAAATTACTGTTTGGAATAATTTGACCTCTTGACTGCCTGTACGGCGTTGACATCTGAGTCAATTGCAATTGAAGCTCCTTTGAGGCAGTTTTCTGTGTGTTTGCCTTTTTTGTATTGAAAAAGTTGGTTTGTGAAATACCATTATCAAGAAGTAAGCGGAAACAACAATTACTTGCTTCAGTGGCGTATTGATTGCCTATTCTGACATTATCACACACATTTGTAGAACTGACAATTGTAATTGACCATCTAACGGTCCCTTTACGCGGATTGGATTTCGGGTGCTGATTCCATACGTAAGTTAAGCTGTCTATACTCATCAGTGCTTGGCGTTCAAATATCACATAAGACCTAATAAAATTGCGGACTAAATACTAGCAGACAGAATCTGCACCAGCTTCCGCGTAAAGAAGGAGGAAGAAGGCACCCTAATATACTGTTGTTGTTTGTTTGTTTGTTAGTAAAGTTTGTCTGTGATCGTGGGACTAGAGAAAGTAAGTCAGTAAGGGTTGTCGCCACCTTTAGATTATACATAGAATTCAATTAAAATTATCAATTTACAGTAATCGCAAAAATGCAGTGCGACAAGGTTCATTGTGAACGTAAGTAACAGTTCATGGGGGACGCTGTTGTCTACGTGAATGACCTACAAAATATGACGTTTACAAAGACGGCGGCGTTAGTTCTAATTTTCGCCACCTTCAAAAGATCCTTGTCACACGATAAATCATTTTTGTTACTATTTAAATGTCTTGAGCGTCCAACGCGCGAGTGTTACTCCTTTTGGCTTACTGCGAAGTGTTGTTGCGACATTTTAGGTAATAAGAAAAAAAATTTTTGAGTATAATATTTGAGTAATAGCGTAACATTAAAATAAATTTCTATATTTCATAGAGAAAATAACTCTATTTTGATATACAGGTGGCAACCCTAGTACCAGTACAGTGGAGGTCACGACAATGGATACACTTAAGCAAAAGTTAATATAGCTCCTATTGCTACGTTATAGATACTTTTTAATGACGAATTTTTAACCAGCGACGTGGCCCCAGCTGTACGACGTGTTGTGATATGCGGCCTAATTTAAATATTTAGACGAAATTGCTGTCAATTTTTATTCAATCAAATGATGTTTATAGGAAAAATTGTGAATCACCAATATTAATTATATAGTATTTATGAATTCAAAAATTAATTACAGTACTTTAATATAAGTGACAATATCTGATTTTAACTGGTTTTGAAAACGATGTGTACTAATGGCAGAAGATTAACCGCTAAAGTATTTTTGTTACAAATGTACATTTATTGGGCTTTCGATCAGATTTTATTTTATGATTCGTAACTTACCTTTTAATCTTTGTTCCGCATATTTAGAACGATAATTATTATTGTCATTTTATGGCAGTCGGCACCTCACTGGGCTATTTGTTAACTTGATATCGGTCTGATCCTTTTCATTCCTTATATGGACAGCCTGTTGTCAATTTTACAAATAATAAATACAAATAGCCGAGTGAAGGGCCAGCATTAGATGTTTTTATTATATGGCAAATCATGGAAATGATTTAGTACTTACCATAATTAACACATCTCTATTTATTTGACCATCACAAATTCTGAGATTTATCGATATGTACGTGCCTAATGAATATTGAACTGATTTGAAATAATAAATTGGGAATGTTTTATATATTAATAGATCGCAATTCTTCCAAATCCCCCATAATTGTCAACATCTCTACTAATTTTTTTTTGTTATTTATGATTATGTTTTGAATATCGAGTTTTAATGTCGCATGTGTTTTTTTTTAAATTATACTGTTAAATGACATTTGATGTCCATAAATAATGTGGTTCGATTATAAATACTAAGCTTGTTATTTATAAAGCTTCTTTGTCCGCAAAATATGGAAGTATTTCTTTTTCTATATATATAAATATCTATAAATTGCTCATAAATTTTACTTTTAAAAATAATGCAATTCGGTCAGCCCTCGTTTCCAAAAAAAACCTGTTATACTTAATACACTTGTGTCAAACGAAAATATTTTAATAACAAGGTGGTTGTGAGATTTTTGTGTATTTTTCTTTTGTGTCTGCACTGTTTGACTATAATATATTATTTAAAAGCCATTTTGGGTTGTCTTGATGATTGTTTATATATTATGTCTCGATTCCTATTTTGGAGAACGATTATATTCTTATTATTATAAATTATTGCCTATTTAAAATTGAGACAGTGGACAATTGTTTACGCTGTTATACACAGCTGTAATTTTGAATTTTAGTCTAAATTATACTTTTCGGTTCACTTTATAAATAAACATTTATGTAGACCCTTTCGTTGTTAAGTAACGAAAGATTAGTTTGCAATTGCTAGTGTAAATTTAATATTCGCTGTATGTATATAAATTATTAACATGTTTAACCATATCGCATCATTCCCTGTTGTTTGTGTAGCTGTGTATGTTATACGATAGTGCGATATTGTTTGTCCCTTAGCTGTATGTAGGTTAATTTAAGGCAATTTGGTGCTAAACGAGTGTCTACAGACTGAAAACATCATGCATGGCTCAAATTTTTATACCAATATATGAAATATGTGACAGTTAAATATTTTCAACAGCTCTGAAGTTTTAAATGAGTTAACTTAAGTTTATGGACTTTGTGATGACTCGTCGATGGATTGTTTTGTACGATCAAGACATCGAGATTTTTTGGGGTTTTAATAATATCAGCAAAGTACAAAAAATTTGCGCTTAACATAAATATCGTATCGCTGTCTGAACCACACTCTGTGGCCTATCATGGGCTTACAGTGATAAAGTGTTACAAATGTTTATTACTCGCTCCTCAAGTGAAACGTACCTACGCCATATATATACAAACTTCCATTAGTATTGTGTCAAAGCATACAGTAATATTAAGTTGACTGTACTTAAATTTTAAGCCAGGTATACTACAGTACAAAATTATAGAATTTGGCAAGTTTTCTTAGTTAAGCCATATAGCAAAAAAATAATGTTTTTAAGCGATCATGTCCTTTATAATAAAATCTATCTTCTTCGTCTTTTTTGTACTATTATTTTATTTGTAAACATCCAAGAGAGCCATTTCGAGAAGTAATCTCCGATTCGTTGTTGACTGCATAAATATTTTTCTAAGCAAAATATCTGTAATCTAGAATTTGAAGAAATTAGCAAAAATTAAAGTAAGTAATTCTTATTATTTGGTATAAATTAGTCAATGCTATAAACAGCATTATAAAAATGTATATAAATAGAGTGTTTTCTGATCCATTTAAATATTATTTATTGTATAATGAATGAAGTATACTTGCAGAATATTATGAGGTACAGTAAGCATGATTGAGGTTAAATTTTCATCTATATTTAACAATCAATTAAATAATTTTTAATTACTGTTGATACGTGAGGTAAGAATACTATCGATATTTTTTGATATAAACCGGCACAACTTTACAAATAGCTAAAACGAATAGCCTGGCGAACAAAACGGTATAATTACATAAAATTAAATTTTACAGCTGTATAAAACTGAATGACATAACTCCAGTGAGCTTTTGGCATGGTTTTTAATTTATGAATTTAGTAATTTTAACACTGTTTTAGGCGGTTTTGATTGAAAATTATTTGAGATTCGCATTCAACGTGCAAGAAACCTCCGAACTGTAAAAAAAGTAGTTTGATCAGATGCGTAATTATACCGTTTTGTTCGCCAGCTCCTATATCATACTAGATGTGCCTACTTTTAGCAAATCAAGGAAATTGAACATACAAGGGTTTTAAAACTAATACATACCTACATATACAGCTATCCTTTATCAACAGCAATATTATTGTTTACTGTCTCACATTGGTGCACAGCGGAAGCAAATGTCTCGCAATATGCATTAAGTTAAGATAGAATCGAAAGTGCGCTGTCTAAATAGTTGACGCTTCACATTTGAGCCAATGAATAGTAGTTTTACCGATAAAAAAATTTGCCAAATTTTTTGATAATCACACACAATGTATAAGTACTTTTAGCTAGGTTTTCAACCTCTGTATATGTTTAAGTCGCATACTGTAGTCATGATATTGTAACAAGTATATTTCGTAAGTAGAATAGATTTTATTTCACGAACTGTGAATATTTTAGAGAACTAGATCTGACAGTGTTAAAAGACAAATCGTGATACATAATATGTTACACCACAGGAAGTTAATAAATACCTGAAATAAATTAATTTGTTGTCATTAAAATATAAAAAGTACACTCGTTCTGTAAGAACAAACCCTCTGAAGAAGAGGTGTGATTCAAAATAAGAACACAAATCACACTAATAATGTCCCAGGGGGGACGCATGCCTTTGAAAATATTCGGAACAGGGTAAAACCTATACCAGAAGGGAACACATCAAAAGGAAAAATAAATTACGGATGATTTGAGGTTGGGAAGGGTGGGTGGGTAGAAATATATAGAAGTAGTGGTGGCCTTATGATCAGTACTCTTTGTAAAGATCTCGCGGTGACGCGAGCAAACAGCATCGCGCGCGATCTCTTCGAAGTTTTAAAGCTATATTAGTCTTTTTTTAAATTATTTCACACAAACTACTCGCCGCGTGTTCATTTCGGTGAATTGGCCTTAAAGGTCTGAAAACTGGACAGCTTTGAAATTAAAGAAAAATGCCCCATTTCATTGTGTTTACTTCATACCTAGCACAGTAGAAGCGTCAATCAGAAACGTAACAACGCAAATTAACCCATATCTCCGCAACGTAATACACATATTTATTCCTTCCAAAATATTCGTCGCCAATTCACGCGTTCTTTTTATCAGAAGGAATTATCAGCCAATTTGATTCCTGATATGCTTATGTTTGCAATATTATCATTTATTGGCAGACAACTCAGATCCATATGTTAGCATACGTTATAACCCCTTTGTTTCCAATGAGTCACACTGTGACTCGTTGGGAGAACTTTGTAAAATAATTCCCAACCAGTCACACATGTGACATGTTGCGAGACCTTTCTTAAAATAATTTCCAACCAGTCACACTGTGACACGTTGGGCGACCCCTTTTTGAAATTATTCCCAACCAGTCACACTGAATCGTTAGACCAATCTACTCTTAGGTGTTGGTTATGTTAGGTCTAAGGTGTATGTTGCGTCTTAGCCCTAATTTCATTAAGGCGCTTTGCAGACGGCGGGGCGGGGCGGGGCGGGCCGGCCAATTTCGCCGCGAATAATAGCACAAAGTGAATCCTATACTTCAAACGCACACAGAGGGCAAAAAGCATCAGCTTACGATAAATTTATGTTTGGTGCTTAATTCAAGGTTGTTGAAATATTAGGTCCTTACATATGAAATTAGCGTTTTGTCGTACTGACCACTTTGATCTTAAATATCTCCTCTTTGGTTAAAAAATCCAAATTTATAAATTCATTTAACTGGTACATTTGAGTTTTGAAAACAGTCATTCATTTGGTTTTTTCCTCATTACTTTTCTTTGGCGTCGCTTATTACCGCCCAATGGAAAACATGAAATATCGGTATATTTACAAGTACTAGTTCTACCGTGGCACCAATGCTGCAGAAACAGCTCGAAGGATTAATGATATGTACGGCGCTGGTGTCGCAAAAGAAAGCACGGTACGTTTTTGGTTCCAACGTCTTCGTTTTGGAAATTTCGACCTTCAGAACCAACCCCGTGGACGGCCGGAGACCAAAGTGGAAAATGAAGAATTAAAAGCTATTGGATCTATCACAAAGCACTTCAGAGATAGCTGCAGGCTTCGGGGTAAATGACAAAACCGTATTAATCCACTTGAAGCAAATCGGGAAAGTAAAAGAACTTTAACGGTGGGTACCTCATAAATTGAGTGAATCGAACTTGAAAACACGCGTCGACTGCTGTGTTACTTTGCTCAACTGACACAATAATGATAGGATTTTGAATCGAATCATTACTTATGATGAAATGTGGATACTGTACGATACGGTCGTCGCAATGGCTGAACCCTGGACCACCACCTAGCCAAATCCTGCCCTAAACGAAAATTGACTCAGAAAAAGTTACTTGTGAGTGTGAACTAGCGCCGGTATCGTTCACTACAGCTTTCTAAAATCTGGCCAAACGATTACGGCAGATATGTATTGTCAACAACTGCAAACTATGAAGGTAGAACTAGCTGCTAAACAACCGAGATTAGTCAATCGCTCTAGGCCACTGCTGCTTCACGACAACGCAAGACCACACACTTCGTAAAAAACAACCACTAAGTTAGATGAGCTACAATTGGGATGTCTGCGACATTCACCGTACTCCCCGGACCTTGCTCCAACAGATTAGCATTTTTTCCGGAATTTGGACAACTTTACAAGGAAAAAAATTCAACTCTGATGCGGCAGTCCAAACCGCCTTCAAAGAGTTTATTGATTCTCGCCCCCATGTTTTTTTTAGAAAAAGGATCAATGAACTACCTATGAGATGGTAAAAGTGCATAGATAACAATGATGCATACTTTGATTAATTAAATATATTTTACAAAAAGAAATTGACTTTATATTCCTCCCGTACAAAACGCCTGGAATTCAAAAGTCATATACCTAATATTTTAACAGGTAATCAAAAGGTCAGAGTATAGATTTATATATAAGCTATCAAGATTAACAGCAAAGAATAGAAGATTGGATAAAAGGTTTCACCGATGTAAATAGAGTTCAAAATAGAATGAACATGTAACAGTATAGTAATATAAGTTCTTTCCGGGATTGTTCCCATGTACCTTGTGTAAAAACAAGCGCCGAAATATCGGAAACTCGCTAAAAACAAGGTACATGGTAACAATCCCGTAAATAACTTATATTAAGTACTATAATGTTAGTGACAGTATACCTATCAGCAGGTTGGCCTAACGAGTCAGAGTGTGACTGCTTGGGAATGATTTAAGAAAGGTCTCCCAACGTGTCACAGTGTGGTGTGACTAGTTGCGAATTATTTAAGAAAGATCTCCCAACGCGTTACAGTGTGACTAGTTGGGAATTATTTTACAAAGTTCTCCCAACGAGTCAGTGTTACAGGTTACAGTGTGACTCGTTGGGAACAAACGATTATAACTTACAACTAAGTGTTAGTAGCCTAAAACGCCTTATTTGCTTACAACCCTTGCAAATTAACAAGGAAAATTTTCTAATAAACGTTAAAAACCTTAATAGCCAAGGACATCGACGAAATCGGCCGCATCATGAACAAACGAATGTCCGTCACTATTACTTTTTTACTTTATTAGCAATTAATTATAGTAAACAGACATTGTTGTAAAAAAAAAAGGTTCTGTAACTACACAATTTGCTGTCATGTCATCTCTAGAGCCTTAAGAGACGGGTTATTCAAAAGCTTCCGCCAATGAGGTTCAAAAAATAATTTCAAATGTGTTTTTTTTTTTAATTCAATTCTATTCCATTTTGAATAGATAGCCATAATAAATGCAATATCCGCAACCATAGGTATTTATTAAGAATAGAACAACGTACATATATACACGCCCTAGTTAATAATACTTATCACTAGTATTTATATTTTTTAGATAATTTCTGAAATTATTTAAAGATAGTTTATACACTCATCCCATATAATATTTGTTTATTTTTATGAAAATCATAATGATAACCAATTGCCAATAATAAAATAAAGAAACAGATAAATGGAAAGCCTTTGAAATAGAAAAAAAATGGGTGCGTGTACTTATGTAGGCGCGTGAGAAGTTATCCTTCTTTGGCATCGTTTAAAATTAGTTTTAGTCTGGAAAAGGACACAGTCAATAAAGTTCAGTTTTAATTTGAAAAAATAAATAAATAATCAAAATATTCAATTAAACTCGCTACTGAATATAATTTATTAGAACATATGTGATTTGCACTTGTATGAAACTCAAACATGTATTCCGAATATACAAACTAGAAACATGTGGATAAATATTATAAATATGAATACCTATAACTGTTACTTTATTACAAAAAATAAAGATGTGGTTTTTGGTTCTACTACACCAATGGTCAAGAGATGGCGCTGTAGTCTCCTGAATCGCGCTTTGGTTCCGTTGTTCCAGATTAATAAATACTTTTGATATTATAAATATGAATACTTAAAACTGTTACTTTATTACAAAAAATAAAGATGTGGTTTTTGGTTCTACTACACCAATGGTCAAGAGATGTCACTGTAGTCTCCTAAATCGCGCTTTGGTTCCGTTGTTCCAGATTAATAAATACTTTTGATAGGCCTTCACAATGCAGTCGTTAGCACCCACTAAATAGAGATTCTATTTCTATATTGTTGGTAGATTTTCTTAATGTGCGGTAAACACAAAAGCAACAGCATGAAGTTGGTCGCTAAAGCGACCAACTTCATGCTGTTAAAATTTGTGTTACAGTGATGCGCGCGCATCTTAAAATTTCACTCTCATCATTTTTTCATAACGCGCCTAAAGAAGTATAACTTCAAAAAAACATTTGAAAAGAAATCTATTATTAAAAAGGTAGGTATAGGTATCATAGGTGCCAACTGATAACATCATAAATCAATATGAATATGAGCATTTATTGTTTGTGGAGTTCCACATAAAAACATCAAGAAAAACGAATAAGTCATCAATGCTTAAAGCAATCTCTATACTTACTACGGGGAAAAAACTTATTAATGCATAAATTTGGGTCAATTATCATGTGAATATTTATACTTTTATACTCATGAGAATTATTTATAACAAGAAATGTTACCTACGTTTGTTTGTAATTATTAGTGTTAATGTATTTTATTATAAAAAATTGCTATTCAAGTCGACAATCTCGCTTTGGAGTATGTGCAAGAATATATCTATCTTGGTCAAATTATTTCAGCCAGAGATCAAACTTCTAAAGAAGTGAACTCACGGATAGCCAATGGATGGAAGAAATATTGGAGTCTGAAGGAGATAACCAAAGCTAGAGACCTAAGCATATCACTGAAAATAAAAGTATTTAACACCTGTATGGATGCGAAACTTGGTCACTAACAAAACAACACCGAGATAAGCTTGAATACTGTCAAAGAGCTATGGAGAGGAGTATGTTAGGAGTAACAAAGAAAGATAGATGGAAAAACGAAGACCTCAGGCGGAAAACCAAAGTAACTGACATCCTGACCCAAATAGACCAACAAAAATGGAGATGGACAGGCCACATGATACGTAACCAATCAGAAAAATGAAGCAAAGTTGTTACCAACTTGTACCCTAGAGATGGAAAAAGAAGCAGGGGACGGCAAGTTGCTAGATGGGCAGACGAGATTAAACAGACGGTGGGAGTTCACTGGAGAAGAATAGCCCTAAACAGATCTGAGTGGCGTAGATTGGAAGGAAGCAGCATTTCTCCAAAGATTCGAGCATCAGCTGGACATCTTGTAGAGGCTGGTGGAGGCCTTGTGTCACTGACACGCTACGTTTACTACAAAAGAAAAAAGAACTAATTTTCAAACAAATTTTGTAAACTGGTAGCTTTAATAAAGGCTATTTTATTATAAAAAGAGAAATATGCATATTATTATTTATTTTATTATAAAAACCTAAATTCAGAGGGAACAATCTTCTTTAGCGCATAAAATTGTTACCTACGTTTTGGTGCAGTACGAATAGTACGAAATTGAACGCGTTTTGTTGTAATTTCAATAGTTTTCGATAGAATTCAGGAATTCGAACCGATCTGCATACCTACTCATTTTCTGAACTAAATGTCAAATGTTCCGTTCTGGTGTGGACCTCCACATTTTTATTATTAATTGCATTTAATTAATATTAATTTTGTGCTTACATAGAGGTAACAATAAATCTATTCAGAATATGTAAAGTGTACAACATCGTTTACGGTTAAGTATAATAATTATAACCTCAAAATCTAATACATTCTGTAGTAGGCCACGGTTCCCCAAGTTGTCCGTATTTCAACAAATAGCTAATGGGAGTTTATCATGATTCCGAACACAACTAGCATTTTCTCATTGCTGTGCGTTCTGGGGCATTCAATGTATGGGGAACGAACGAGCAATGTCCTTTTCTTTACTATTATCATTAGCTTGGAAGGAATACCTTTGTAGATTACCTACGTTACGGATATAAGGGTGATTTTGCTATGTAACTGTTTCTAAAATTTGCTTCGATGCGCTTTTACTCTGTGCTAGTATGAATTGCCTTTAAAGAAGAAAACTTGTCTGTTTTGCCACTTTTAAAGGATAAGTGGTTGATGAATCAATTTGATCGATAGTTAATGTACTAACATTACTTTGCGACTTTACGACGTTTCTGAAATTCGCTGCGCCGCCCAGTATGAATTGACCCTTCGGTTGATATCCACAAAACCTTCCTAAACGTAAAGGACGAGGTGGTGAGAATAAAAATAAGTTGCCTTGTTTCAATTATTAAATTTATTTTAAAAATTGTGTACAAATAACCTATAGCTGGTGTATGCAATGCAGCGTAACTGATGTTACATTAAATAGGTATAACGCACGTATAAACAGACCATCTCAGAGCGCGTTTATTGAAATTGGAAGATTGTAAATACATCAGATACATAATTACTGTGCAATTTTATCATTAACACACATTTAAAAAGAATGCTAATTATTAGATAGGAACATAAATAATTACTGGCATCGAAGGTGTTTGTTACTTATGTAGTTTCATATCAAAACAATACCGTCTTATAGACTGCTAAGTGTATCAATCAACATCGTTAACAATTTTACAGGCAATGTAACTACTACATCACATTGGGTCTTACCGACTATCACTTACCTATCATGCCTTCAGCACCGATATTTATACAAATATAACATTACAACATTTCAATGGACACAAAATTATGAACAATGACACAAAGAGGCGGACAGCTTTAACATGGCTCCGTGTATTTTTCTATACCCCCTTCGACTTGGGAATGTAAGATCTCTTCCTATATGTTCAAAGGTTTTAACTAGCAGCGACTGGGTAATGCCAACAATTAAACGTCTTACAAAAAGCCTATGTTACGAGAAAATGAAATAACCGTAATAAATAATTACCATTTGCCGAACTGATCTCTCGAGCTACAACTAACATGCCGATTCTACTCGCGGTACCGAATTAGTAAATCTAAAGGGCAGTACGATAAGTATAATTTACACTATATTACAGTTACAATTTGATAAATTCAAGTCTTATTCCATATTAAACAATACTGAAAAAAATCATTGGTAACCTCAAGACGGGTGATACAAGAACACATAACATTCAGCAAGAAACAAATTTTCTAGTTGGCTAAAAATAAACGTTCAGGTTATCCATTCAGAATCACCCGTGAAGAGTATTTATTTAAGACTTTATTAACCTACCGCAGTATGGCCAATGTTATCGGCGTTATGGCTAGTAGAAGCCCGATTGACAGTGCAATTTGGACCTTGTATTATAAGCGTATAAGGTCGGGGTTAGCGCTACTGCTGCTTGCATTCGGCCGGATTCTCGTGATGAGGTTTGTTCCCGTGCTTCTTGTTGCCGCGCCGCCTCGGGGCCGGCTCGTCGTCTTCACTCTCTTCAGTTGAACATTCTTCCTCCTCCTAAAGCATAAGCTATGTTAATCGCACTCAAAATTGTACATTATACTCTTATAATTATACAGTTTGAGAAATCTACACATAGTTATGACTAATTATTTATAATTCTTTAGTTACTTAAAGCATCTATATCTGGAGAGTACACGTCACCATCTGAGTGTATTTATTGGTTGTTAATTGTATTGAAGTAAAATAGGTTGATAATATCGTAAACGACACAACGAGGCCCGCGATAATGACGCATACGAGAAAACAACGCTTCAATTCATTAAAATAAATTAATTACCTTGTTCTTTTTAATTTTATTTAGTGTGTGAATTCTGCAACCATCCGCTTACCGCAGTTCATACTTGCACAAACTAATTTGCATGCAAATAAGATAAAATATGGAAATAAAACACACATGGGTAAAAAGCATACAATTTTAATGTCAACATTAAGACATGCCAGAAACGTAAGCTAAAATAACCGTATAAAAACTATATATATATATAGTTATATTCCGACCTAGGTATTGTCAAGTTAACATTAAATTACATTTGAAGATCACAGTTTGCGATGTTTCGTGTTTATATAAAAATATGTGTTTGGCACTAAGTAACAGAGATTCCATAAATCGATTCCTGAATGAGGACCGTAGCTGCGACGCGAACTATTCTGCTTCACAAATGGAATGCGAATAACGATAAAAAGCCTTAGAGAATTATCAATAATATCACATGAAATTTCAAAGTACACAAATGAAAATGAAAACGTAAAGATACACACTAATTACTGTATAATAATAATAATAAATAAAAACGAGACATTGTATAACTAAACTAGAAATGCAAAATATAGTTTTTTTTTTTATTTATCGTTAACAGACATTTAACAAATCAACACATGCATTTATTATACATTTAATCAATTAAAAAAGGCACCATAATGCTCCACGCTATTCTAAATGTCTAAAATCTTATTAGCTCTCCGAGCCGCATCCAAATCTCAATCTATAACATATTTATCCAAACGACAGATAAACCATGCATAGAAGTTCAAGAACAGCCTCTTGGCGCAACTACAACATCTAGCGGATAAATACTACTTATTTATAAATTATTAATGCGCGGCGCGCGTACTTCGGCTGTTCGACAACACTGACTGATGTTGGTTGTTTTATTAATTTCGACATATTGTATTCGATATGGAGTGATATGACGCCATACAGAGCGAAGCGCGTTCAAAGCACACGAGTGCGTTCCGCCGACGCATAGCCTGAGTGGCAACGACATTATAACGCTACGGATTAAGGGGGCGAGGTGCTCTTGCATCAATCGTCCGCGTCAGAAACTTCCTCCGTCCCCGAGTCCTCCTCGGAGTAAGAATCCTCCTGAAACCAAATCGCACCGCTTTTGCTTTGTGCTCCCGACTAGGGTTACCATCCGTCCGGATTTTTTAAATGACATTGAATATGAATAATAAAAGGACATATTGATTTAAATACCATACCATTGAAACTATGTGAGTAATGGTACCATTATATGACTAAAAAGTCCGGACTTTTTTTCGAAATGACAAGATTTTTGTCACGACTTTTGAAATTCCTAAATGGTAACCCTACTCCCGACAGACGTAGATACCGTGTCCACTCACAGACAAATGGGCTAATAAGACTCCGCAACGCGCGTAAAGACAAATTCGATACCAACCTACACTTATTATACAAAATTATTTTTGTATATGTATACAAATAAATTATGGAATTATGTCACCTATATTACTAAAATCTAATATATAGTAGCGCACTATTGTGTGATGTTCTGTAGAACAGAAACAAATGATATTTCATAACAACCATTTACTTTATTTAGGGGGGACATGGAATTGATGCTGCACATTGGTACAAATAATATACGCCGAAAGAAAAATAAGCTTCAAAGTTGCCTATGCAAGGTCTATTTAGCTCAACTTGTCTGTGGGAAGACTTAAGCCTTCCACTGTCTCACTTCAAGAGAAATGTCTATTACGAGAGAGGTTAAAAAAACTGCATTATTATGGTGAAATTGTATTTTTTTTAATGTATTTTACAACCTGGCAATGAGTACATATTATCAAACAAACAACAACTTCCGATTGAAGCTTATTAACATTTTTCGAAAAAAAAATTGGATAAAAATGATGATACACCATAATATCCAACACTATTTTTAAATTGATTAAGACAAATCTTGATCCAAGTAGCCAATATAATTTGAAATAAATAATTTATTCAATATTAATAAAAAAAATAAACCAATCACCATTGACAATTTCCCAGTAAATCAAATAAAGGTTGACTGAAAGAGGACGGCTGTTGAAGGGTTTACAAGACAGTGGAGCAAACCAAATTAAAACACAAACACCGTACCTACGTCTGACAGATATCAATACAGGGACATCCACAAAATCTAAGCAAGCAAATTACCATGCAAATATTGTCCAAACTACTCAACTAGATGGATGTAGAATTCACTATGGCGCAGTAAAAGCTCTCTTATAGCTAACTAAATGTAATTTTTTTCCTCTTCTTAATAAACGAAGAATAAGATTAGACTAGCTATGCCGTGTTTCGTTAATTTCACTCAAATATTATTTGGAATTCAATGAACAGAGACAAAACAGACTAACTAATCCAAGCTTATTATTCTTCGTTTATTAATAAAGGGGATAAAGTTAAATAAAACTTCCGAATAATAGCCAAAGCTAAGTATAGAGTATGCATCAAAACTACATAGTGGCTTATTTATAAGTGATCCATTTCACAAGTCAGATATTAAATGACATGTTTGATTTACTATGAAAATGCAAACTTATTAGCTAAGATTTCAGACTTATTTTACCGGTTATTGCGCTAATGTGCCCAATTCTATACTTGTACTACTAAACTCATTTCTAAATTTTCTTCATAACAAAGATATGTCGATTGTGTGATTCATTCATAAATGTGGAAATTAATTGTACTGTTATTCAGAATTGAGCCCAATCAATGGAATTTGTTATAAAGCATTCAAAAGTTGTTTGTTTTAATCCAATTAATCCATTGATTTTCATCAGTTCTATTTCATCACCTTACAGCTATTTTTGACTTTATTTTGTTTCTCTACTTAATCTCATGAATAAATTCAAATGTAAAAAGCAATTCTTATATAGCGTTATTGTCCGTTGGATCGTGATGTACGAGCACCGATATTAAATAACCTAGATACACAAACACGAACAAAATCGTGCCCGAAACCTGTCCAAAAGGAATATAGGACGATCAACGGAGCTCCGTAAGATTATCGCGCATTGAAAGTCACTTTTAATACATACTGAATAAAGTCTTAATTAAACGCACGCGTCTTATGACGGTTCTAAATGCAAGCTCGTAAAATATTACGACTTTTGCTATAAATATGCGGAAAAATATAGACCTTATTCATTTGACTCTACGCGCAATTCTGAATGCGCTGTTGGCTATATAGCAGGTACGGACCGCAAGAAAAAGAGACGGCTGTGTGCGGTCCATGCATTTGAATATCACAAATCTTTTCTATTAAATCAGTTTATAGTAAGTATTACAACAAAATTTACTTCAAATGCGTTAAATTAACAAACATTGATTGAATCTCCTGTCGATGGAGATACCTGTCGAAAAACGACACTTTACATACTATAAGTATTTTTTTTTTGCATTTTGTCTCTGAGCTCTGTGGCAACTTGACTTTTCAACGGTCCGCGCGTGACTGTGAACCAAGAAGTGCTTGAGAGGTGTTCAAGCACTTCATGATTGGCACATTTTGCGCGCACGTGGTGTATCTAGGGTATTTAATATCGTTGTGTACGAATGATGAGGGATTATTTGACAAAAAGTTTGGTCAATCCAGCCACAAACAACAACCATAGTCTATTAGCTGCTACTCTATACATATTAACTCCGTGGGCAAGATGCAGAGTCAAAGCGCATCGAAGCGGAATTTCAGAAACGTAACGAAGCAACTTCACCATTATTATCCCTACTACGTAATTACATACACAAACCTACATACTTACGAGATAAAAAAAAGACTTTTCCGAGCTCAAAAGGAATATGTACCATCAACAAAGTCAGCACTTAATCAGTTTCAAAACTGTTTTGCTTATACTGTATATATTACTATATTTGCCCAATGACAAACAAAAGGACCTTTTTTAATAATTGGCAGCCTATTGTGTACCCAATTTTTATGACTTTAGCAAGTACGTAAATGGATACTTACTTCTATTATATATTTTTGTGCTCAATCCATTAGATTTGTGAACAAGAACAAAACGGCGGGCCCTTAGTCAAGGAATTGGTTATACAAAGGAAAATCGTCCTAGTGTTCCAGACTTGATGACTTTGTTGACGTTGGTGAATTTGTTTCGATGCGTTTCGAATCTGCGCTAGTATGAATAATATAGTGCGATAAGGGTTACCATACGTCCGGATTCTTAAAATTACATTGAATATGAATAATAAATGTACATTGATTTAAATACTTTACCATTGTGACTAAGTGAGTAATGGTACCATGTTACGACTAAAAAGTCCGGACTTTTGAAATTCCCAAATGGTAACCCTAAGTGCGAGTGGGACAGCCAGAATGCACTCACCTCCTCCTCGTAATCATCGTCGTCGTCGTCGTCGAGGCCCTCGCCAGTGTAGAGCAGGACGGCACGAGATACTACTCGCTCGCGGATGTAGTGGCCGATCTCAAAGTCAGCGGTGAGCAACGCCTGCAATATTAACAGATTCAGTAAATATATTCAATTTTAATGGACAGTTCCAATCATCATCTTCAGCCTATTAATTTATTTATTTAAACATTATTGCCACAATTACAAAAATGGACAAAAGGCGGGACTTAACGATAAAAGTATTCTCTGCCAGTCAACCTTTAGGCATAAATAAATACACGGTTATAATAAAGAAAAAGTGATTTTCTATAAACATACACCAATAAAAGTAACTACATAAAAAATATTTTAAAAAAACCTAAATATACATGCCATATAATACATTTAAATATATAAATGCACAATATTTATAAGTCATAATTAATATTATATAAATAATATGTGTGCGAGTGTGGATTGGTGGATCCTAATAAATGCAGATGAAGCCGGGACCAACGACATAACCATGGCTTCCAAAGTACGGACCCATCCAATGACTGACCATTGGGAAAGTTGTTTAACTTCAACGATTGCAGCCAAACACACTAACCAATTGTACAATCAAGCTCCTCGAAAAAAGCTCTGCTTAGTTTGGATTCCAAACTTTGGAATAAAATTTGTGAGTGGCCCAGAGTTTGTCATATTATTTGAAGGAGACAATGACATTACCTGGATATCTGAAGCTAAAGTGGAGTTCGGGTCATCGGGCATGGCTGGGGGAGCAAAGAAGTTGAAGAACGAGTCAGCCTGCACAGACTTGGTGACTGTGCGGACAGAACCACGAGACTTGTGCTTCTGCTTCTTCTTTATCGTCTTCACTGTCACGTTCTTGCCTTTCTTCCAGTTGATTTCGCAGCCCTTTAATTTTTTATAAAATAATATTTAAAAACATGTAAATATGATGGCTAATTAAAAAACACAAGATACATCCTCAAGAGACTTTTAATATTTTAATTAACTTACTAACAAGCACTTAAGTCCTTGAGTACATACCATTAAGGATTTAAATAGTAAAATTATGTACATTTTGTCATGTTACAAGTCTGCCAGTTAAATATCTCACGCTGGATAAGGGTGTGCCAAACAAACTAATTTATAACTAGAGTAACTTCAAAATTACGATCAATGGTCCTTGAGGTCAGAGTAAAGAATCTGCTAACTTTGCGACCGGTCGATCTTGGGCTACTCGCATCCAGCTCCTGCCAGGCACCATGCCCAAATCGTCACTCCATCGTGCCTGAAGATGCCACACTACGTTTGGCTGGACGCGGTCTCCACTCCAGAACTCGTCTACCACAACGGTTATCGGTTCTTCGGCAAATATGGCCAGCCCACTGCCACCTCAACTTGCTAATCCGGTGGGGCTATGTCGATAACTCTGGTTCTCTGTCGGATTACCTCATTTTGCTGAGGATGATGCGATCCTTCACAGAAACGCCGAGCATATCCCTTTCCATAGCGCGCTGAGCGGCTTTGAACTTGTGGACCATCATTATTTTGGGACAATATCAAGACACAAACAATGCTAAATGTAATTATAAGAAGGTAAGAATAAATTATAAATTTGTGTCTGTCTCATTACCACTAGCACCTTTGCTGAAAAACCAATTCCAAATTTACAATTTGAGATACCAACCTTGCATGAATATATTTCTGGTCCTTCAAATTCTAATGGGTTCTCATCATCTGGTTTGCACTTCATCGAGTACTCTTTTGTCAGCACTGTGTTTGTGAAGTAGTCGTTAGGGGCGAAGTGGAACTCTAGCGTGAATCCAATGGGGTCTTCGTGCATTTGGACTGTAAATGTAGTATTGGTAAAGATTAGAATTTTGTAATATTGTTTGTCGTACATAAAAGTTAAATGCTAAAACTCAGTTGGTGATGCATGTTAGAGTAATCAATCACAATTTGATCAGTAAGTGGTGTAGGATGTCATCATTTATTATAAAACACACAGGGTCCATATTCTGTTTTTGATAATGTAAAAAGTGAAAAACATTTTTATAGACTAGCTGTCTTCATTTTGCTTCTTATAACAGATTAATCAAGCAGTAATCATGACAAACTTCATGACTAAGGGTTATTTTCAATAGTTTGTAAAGATTTCTGATTTGATTGCTATGTTAACAATATTATAACAAATCTCAGAATTAATAAGTACATAACACATTTTTATACTGTAAATAATTATATGAATAAATTAAGATCAAAGATTACAATTTCAATGTTCTGTACCTTTGATGTCTTGCAAGCATTTCAGAATGGGCTCGTCGTGTTCTTGCATCATCTCACAGAGCATGGATACATTCCTGAATATAGTGTACCAGAAGTCAGGAATTCCTTTTACATTGGGGTCCATTGGTGGCCTGTGTAAAGAAATAAAACTTTGATAGCATATCTTCAATTGACATATTATTGATAGAAATGGTCAAGACAAACTCAGTTGGTGATGCATGTTAGAAAAATCAATCATGATTTTCAGTGATTGGTGAATATATTCATCATAAAAATGTTTTTTCAGTGATTTTACAGGACTGTCCTTTATTTACATGGCGCACATAATTATACGCTCTCTTACAGTGGAGCACCTAGCGAGATAGTAATGAGAGCAAAAATAGAAATACTCTCTGATCATAGGTAAACAATCAATTTTGAGAGCATCTATTTCTGGGCATTAGGAGACTGCCCTAAACTGTAACCAAACCAATGAGTGTAACCACTATGATTCCGTAATTAGAACTTCTGAGTGATTTTAATTTTTTCATCAGATTTATCATTCAAGGTTAGGGTTTTTGTTGAAGTTAAAGTTTGAATTAACATTTCAAACAGCAGAAAATATAAATAAATTGATATTTGCAAAACAAAATTAAACTGGTCAAAACTACGTCTGCTTGGTATAACTATGACAATTATAAAACTACTTCAGTCTCTCAATATTTGAGTGGCAAAAACACGAATTTAATAAATCTATTTAAATACTAATAACAAATGTTAACGAAACTGATCTATATCCAAATATTTTCCAAATTCCTCATTATTAGTTTGCAGCTCAAGGAGCTAAATGATGCGAGTGGTAAGCACGTTCGGCTGCGGTCGTTAAGTTAAGCAACTTTCGTAGTGGTCTGTCATTGGACAGGTGACCAAAAATTTATCTCTAGCTCCTGTGTTTTGGAAGGCACATTAAGCCGTTGATCCCGGCTACATCTGCAGTCGTTAGTAGCTACCAATCCGCACTGGGCCCGCGTGGTGGGTCATGACCCAATCTCCCTATTCCATCCATAAGGAAGGCCAGTTTTACAATTACGAAAACTATGATAGTTTTCGTGAGCTCGCACTCGTACTAATGGTACTAATTTTATTGTTTTCGTTTCAATACAAAACAGTGTTTAAATTCTATCATTAAATCATTTGCGTCTTCTTAAATTTTAAGTATATTTGGTTGCTTTTCACCAAATTGGACATAGAAACATATTTTACAATTACGAAAACTATGATAGTTTTCGTGAGCTCGAACTCGTACTAAGGGTAGTGTGCCACAGCAGTGGGGACTTTAATAGGCTGGTGATGATAGTTTGCAACTTACTCGACAGGCTTCGCTTCCTCGGCGGGTTGTTTGGCCTTGTCGTCGGTGCCGTCGGTGATTGCGGCGCCTTCTACCGCGCGCGCCAGTTCTTCTTCCTCATTCTCCTCGCGCCACGGGTTCAGGCATTCTTCGTCTGTGGGCTCGTATTCACCGCCAACTATTTTTGCGCGCTGTCGGGATGGAAAATAAATTGTAGTTATAGCTATTATCGGGATTGTTACCATGTACCTTGTTTATTATGATGAGTCCGATATTGGTAACAAGGTACATGGTAACAATCCCGTTAATAGCTATAATGTTAGCGACCATGAAAGTTTAAAAAAAATGTAGTTAATTCATATTTTTGAAGCATTAAACTGCCGAGTGTTTAAATATAGGTAAAGAAAATTTTACTATAGGAGAATACCACGCGACCAAGCAGCAGACGGGATTCGAAACCGCACTGCGCTCGAGATAGAGCTGAATTGCAGCCTATTAAATACTAGAAAAAATTTGGATAGCGGAAGGTGCGGGTTCGAGTCCCGTCTGCTGACTGGACCGCGTGGTTTTTTTTCTAGTAAAATTTTTTTTCAATAAATTATAATTTTGTGGGAGACAAAGTTGATGATGCAAAAACAAAAGTATGTACAAAAGAAAATCTTCGGAAACTTCAACAGTATTTACGAAAATCCCGAAGTGTTTTGTGTACTACATTGACAAGATCTAGTTTTTTCGTTAACTTATACCAGTGTAAAGCTGGGGCGAATCACTCATGATATATATTATGTTAAATAGTAATGTTTTATTAAATATTTAATTTTGATTCTTATGACTACACATGATACAATCTGACTGACTAACTGTAACTGCTATTGCAAAGGCACACTAACCAAGTAAGGATCAAATCATACTAGCGCAGAGTCGCAGAGCATTCAAAATTCTTCACAAGTATTAAGAAGTTGCACCAATGCGCGTATTTGTTGCTTTTCGCGAACACTCGCGCATCAATTTTGCGCGCAAACGTCGTGATGCATTATGTTGCGAAGATAAGGATGAATTTGCTATGTTACATTTCTGATTTAAGCTTCGATGCGCTTTGACTCTGCGCTAGTATGAAACGACCATGATATTATGTAGTATTGCATTTGCTAAAAGGTAATTAGTGTGCGACAAATCGTAACACACATTTTGTCACACTAAAAATGAAAAGGACCAAAGGGTAAATGAAAACATTGTAGTATGGCCAATTTTTTTTTCTATAGATTGGTCCAACAAATGACTCCACCCCACCTGGTGTTAAGTGACGGTGGAGTCCAGACGCGATTATTAATATATATCATATTATATATTGATAAAACGAAATTTCTAACCAACTCATCTCAAATTGCTATTCAAGTCCACAATCTCGCTTTGGAGTATATGCAAGAATATATCTATCTTGGTCAAATTATTTCAGCCAGAGATCAAACTTCTAAATAAGTCAACTCACAGATAGCCAATGGATGGAGGAAATATTGGAGTCTGAAAGAGATAACCAAAGCTAGAGACCTAAGCATATCACTGAAAAGAAAAGTATTTCATACCTCTATCCTACCATGCCTGACATATGGATGTGAACAGGGTCACTAACAAAACAACACCGAGATAAGCTTGAATACTGTCAAAGAGCTATGGAAAGGAGTATGTTAGGAATAACAAAGAGAGACAGATGGAAAAACGAAGATCTGAGACGGAAGACCAAAGAAACTGACATCCTGACCCGAATAGACCAACAAAAATGGAGATGGACAGGCCAAATGATACGTAACCATACTCGTTGTTACCAAGTGGTACTCCAGAGATGGAAAAAGAAGCAGGGGACAGCAAGTTGCTAGATGGACAGACCAGCTTAAACAGAGTGGGACTTTACTGGAGAAGAATAGCCCTAAATAGATCTGAGTGGCGAAGATGGAAGCAGCATTTCTCCAAAGATTCGAGCATCAGCTGGACATCCTGTAGAGGCCAGGGGAGGCCTTGGGTCACTGACACGCTATGTTTACCACTAAAGAAAAAACTTTCAAATTTTCATACATATTTTTTAAACTGTTAGCTTTAATAAAGGCTTTTTATTTTTATTTTATTATATTAAATATTATAAATATATTGAACTGACTAACGGGTAAACGTTACTGTGTACCTTTTCAAAGAGGGGTTTGTACAGTTTCTCGTATTTGCACTCGAGCGCGTGCACCTCGCTGTAGAACTTTGCCTCGATGTCGACGAACTCTTTTTGCAGGGAGCGCAATGCGCGGATGCGCCGGCGCACGTTGGGCGGCAGAGTGGCCATCACCTCAGCGTGTAGGCGGTTCGTGATTGCAGCAATCATCTCGTTGCGGGTCAGGCCGCTGATGGAAAAACGTTTAAATAAACATTATTATTGTATCTAGAGCATGATAGACTGTTGTGGTTTTGGATTCCGAGGATTCTGTGATTGCACAAATATTTGTTTCGTCTAGTAAATTTCGTACATAGATATTGTATAAATATGACGAGGCCAAAACTGTAACTGTTATATTATATCCTAACATTTAAGTAAATGTGTAAGTCTGTTTGTATTAATATAGCTGTGTTGATGGTCAATAAATAAAAAAATAAAATAAAACAATTAAGTCAGACAGGCTGTTGAAACAACTAGCAAATGCCTGTATCTTCTTTTATATTTTTCATGCTCAAGGTTCAATTAGATTATTTTTTTATAAAGACATCAGATTTGAGTTAAGGAATACACAGTTGTAGAGAATGGACTGACCCCCTGCCCAGCTGTAAAGTAGAACTAGGCAGATAAGAGAAACAATGTGATCATGCAATCATAGCTCATACAGGTATTGGCTGCACCTTTACTTCTCTCTTTCTAGTGTTGTAAAGGACATCGACGAAATCGGCCCTAGCATGCCCAAAAGAATGTCCTTCACTATTATTTCTCTATTATTTTTTTAACTTATTAGCAATTAATCATAGTAAACGGACAATCTGTTTAAAAAAATATAAAATAAAAGTTCTGTTACTAGATACTACAGTCTGTTCATCCAACTTGGCACTCCTTTTTATTGAAAATACAGCATTAAAAATCAACTGATAACTGGATTCAATAGGTTCAGTCTATAATAACGATTTATTTTAATAGTTTATTGGCATCGTTAATATTTTATTCTTAAATGGGTGATTCTGTTAAAAAGTTGTGCCAAGATTGTTTACCTTAATAAATGCAATATAGGCGACCATAGGTATTTATCAACATAAAAATAGAACTAGGTACCTTAGTTGATAATACTTATTACGAGTATTTATATTATATTTATAAAAAGATTATTTCTGAAATTATGTAAAGATACTTTATACTCCCATCCCATCTGTTTATTTTTATGAAAATCATAATGATAACCAGGTACATACCTAATTACCGATAGTAAAATATAGAAATAGGTAAATGGAAATACTTTGAACATTTCATTTGAAAAGAAATCTATTATTACTATAGGTAGGTAAAGGTATCATAGGTGCCAACTGACAACACTCATAAATCAATATGAACATAAGCATTTATTATTTTTATTATTAATTGCATTTTATGTTCATTTAATGCATATTATTTAAGTGCTTACATAGAGGTAAACACTAAATCTATTCAGAATATATAAAGTGTACATCTTCTACGATTAAGTATAATATTTATAACCTCAAAATCTAATACATTCTGCAGTAGGCCACAGTTCCTCAAGTTGTCCGTATCTCAACAAATGCTTAATTAGAGTTAATGAATGATTCCGAACACAACTAGCATTTTCTCATTGCTGGGCGTTCTAGGGCATTCAATGTATGGGGAACGAGCAATGTCCTTTAATTCTCTTGTCTTTGGTAACAAATCATTCCAAAAGAACAGTTGCACACAAATATGTACAGAGATACTGGCTGGAGATAATAACAGACTCATGATTCAGACATACACATTAGGAAAAGATGCTTGAATTTGCTGTAGCAAATTTGCTACTATACATGATCTTACAATTTGGCAGTGTATTTCAATTTTTATTTTTTTTTGTTGTTACATTGCTTTGAGTGTGGAGGTTCCTAGTGTAGTCATAATGTAAATAAAACTACAACTTCATCAACTGTATGCTTCTACTTATATTCATTTTTGTATAGATAGGTTACTGGTTTACTAGCAGTTTATAAACAGAAAAGCAGTTAAGGAAATAAATAGAAGATAAATGATCAACAAAAAAATATATTGAAAGTCATGCTACCACATGAATGTCAGGAAAAACTATTAATCAATGCAAAAACTCTGTATTCTTTGGAACAAGATTAATAGATCAGGTTTTTGTAGGCTGTCTATTTTAGCACAAATGTATGATTGGTTGTCCTACAATGCTCTTATATCAAGCATTTTTAATTGATTGTTACCAATACTTCTATTTTATTTATTCAGTACAAAAAAACTGTCAGGTCAAAAAATCCTTTTTTCAACCTAAAAGGCAATAAAAACATAATTCCACATCAAGCAAGCAGGTAATACTTAACTTCATTAATAGTTTTTTCTGCTCCAATTATTGTGCTAAGTGTTTAAAGAATAAGTCGCTTCATCGATCAAGTAGAGCATGAGTCACTAGTTCAATGACCCACCATGGTGAATGCATTGCTTCATTTGCCCTAACATTTTATGTTTTTTAAATGCAAATTTCATATTTCATACCAAACAATTTACTGTAATTTCAATTATATACATATAAAATGATAATATTCAAAACTATTTAAGCATAAAAAAATATTAAGTTTTATTTTATGGGGTCTACAATATCTAAATTTCATGTTTAATTCATGAATAAGTAGCAGAAATATTTTATTCTTTAATTTGACATACATTTGTGGTCTGTTACACAGATTCATATAAAAATCTATTGAATTGATGATTTAAGAATTACATTTCATATTCATTTTTGTGTTTAATGCAATCATGTGATATGAAAATATGAAAAAGTGAAAAATAAAATTACACACCCAATCTTATTATTTTGGAATGACATGGAAATAATGGTAATTAATAACAAAAAGGAAGTTCTATTATATTCACACCATCTCAAAGTTAGTAAAAAATCAATGATATGTTCAAAATGAGATATACACATTCCAATCCCTAGTCCTAAAGTGATATGAGTCAGCTTATAAAATATGTAACCATGTGACCATGATTAAAATTGAACCAATTGAAATTTCGTGATCTTGGATACAGCAACTGCCAGATGTAGTATAAGACAAATAGGTAGCAAATATAAATTAACAAGCAACAAAGATAGTTAGCGACAAATATTGAGCTAACTAGAAAATCAACCAAAGCATTAACACAGGAGGCATGGTCATCTTCATAGCAGCAAGAATGCTACAATTGCATTCTTGCTGCTATGTTAGATTATGCTTTACCCTGCAAGGTATATATAGGTATATAGGTATGTATGGAAGAAAACCTTAAGATATTAATTACAACCCAAAACCAAATTATCAAAAATGTTAAAACCATTTAAAATTTGACAAATGTCATGCGAATTGAATTTAAAATTATTAAAGTTTATTCCAACAAAAATCATAAAAAACACCAATACCTTTTAAATCAAGTACTTGTTAAAAGTAAGTATCACATTTTATCCACTTTCGGCAACATAACAGAAAAATAAAAGCAGCTAACAGACGCTTTGTCAAAGTTGAGACGTAGATGAAGTAGGTACTTAACCTTTAAATACAACTGCTCACCTTTTCATGAGATGTTGGGCGAGTTCACCACCCGCTACGATCTCCTCCTCCTCACCAGATTCCAGCTCAGAGGTGTGGTCATCACCGGCGCGTTCAACGGTACCCATTTTATAATCTAAAACAAGCAAATTAAAACATCGTACAAGGATATTCGCGCCACGTTGGGTAACGTATTACCGGCTTTGAAATAAAATCTGCAAGTAACAAAAACCTCACACAAGAATGCATATTAGATGAAATCATATATCTAGATGGTAACATGAAACACAGTTTTTACGTTAAAATTTGTCAGATAAAAGTAATGCGTAGTAACACTGCAAAAGCAATTTGGCCGACCACATGGCGGCGTGAACTTACTCTGCAATTACGTCTTTTGTACACAATTTTGTATTAAGTTATTTTCAAAGTAGGAACGAAGATGTTATTGCATTCTTGGAATACGATCACCATTTCAAAAAATCAATGTAAACCAAAATTCCACGGTACCTACCTCACTGCCGACAAAACTTGGAAGAAAAGAAAGATGGCGACAATTTGATCGCCTGCCAATGACCTACGTGAGCGAGTGAAGTGAACTGTTCAACTGTTGGTTGACTGAGAGTGACTGACTGACTGAATCAGTGTTACCAGAAAGCAATTTTGCTTTCCCCCGAAATCTTACTCGAAATCCCCCCAAAATACAGATTATTAAAGGAAAAACCTTGACTTGCTTGACTTGACTGACCGAGCAACTGAGCGAGACGGATTGGAACAATGATTTTTTTTATGTGGTCTTTGGACTTCGAGGTCCGAATCATCATCAATCAAGCCATGATTCCATAAGCCAAATAAAATTAAATTTGAGAACAATCTAGCCTTGTCATGCTCTATTCATAATTAGAAAGAGAGATTATTGATTGACTGTTGATCGCGACTTTTTACAGATCAAAAGTTCATGAAGTGGGTTTTTTTATATAAAAATGTAATACAAACCCAAATATCTCCCCACCCCCCCATTAATCCCCCTAAAATATTTTCCTCCCAATTATCCCCCAATGTTTTCAAAATCTGCCAAATTTGGGGGGGATTCCCACCATCTGGCATCAGTGCTCAAGGCTAAAGCCGGAAATATATTTGTCGGTCATGGAGTGATGGTGTCGTGCCTATATCCTATATCTATGATCGTGACGCGTCAGAGAGATATCGGTTTCCTACATTTCTTCGACACAGCGTAACAAATAAAAAATTGTTGGCATGAAAGGTTGACCATAACCAATTTTCTTTCGGAAATTCATAGAGGTCATGGACTTAATAGATATAAGGGCGTGCGCTGCCTTAAGCGGGAGCAGGGAGCAGATTTCCGCTCTGTGCTCCGTCGCGGGATTAAGTTCAGCCCGTCGCGGGACCCGCCAGGGGCGAGTGCATCTCTCAGCGCTGCCAGTACGATTTCAATTGAGCGGTTGAAAATTGTTAATGGATTATTTTTGTTGATTTTACTACCTAGCTAGAGCTACCCTCAAGCGGAGTAACTGATTTTGAATTTTCTTTAAAGCAACTCGGCCAATCAATATCAGCCTCAAGTCAACTTTCGTAGTTAGTGTGGAACCTCTCATACTTCCATTGTGTTGATTCATATCGTTTCTGTGCAGTCCTAATAAATGTCCAGCAACATTCTTTTGAAGTTACTCAATCTTCTTCATATACATTATTGTTTAAAAGAGTTAGAACGGTTTGAAACAAAAAAAAATATTATAGAGTTTATGAGCGTTTTTCAGTATAATAAACAAATCCAAGTTTGTTACAATGCTTGCCATGATGTTTGTACTTTCAATGATTGAATAATACTAAATGATTTTGTTTTAGTATGCTCTTATTTGTGATCGAACCATTATAATGTATATGCATGCCCGATCATCAAATTTATTAACTACCCTCTTAATTGCTCACAAATATTAACCTAATTATTTGAAATTTATTGCACACAATTTAATTTGCGTAAATTTTCAGTCTATATACATCCACGATAAGATTCATTTCAGATAAATACGAAAATTTTTTTTGAAGAAAGTACGCACGTTTGACTGAAGCGTCAAAAAATCCAAAATAATCCATATAAATAATTTATTTTATGTGCGCTGTTTACAATTATAAACTTGAATGTTTATTATATCGAACATAAACTAAGTATTTTCAATCGTTTCCAAGAAAAAAAGGGAATCGTTTCCAAGCAAAAAATTATTTAAATGTCAATGAAACGCGATTTTCAGCTCACTGTGTGCCAGGATGAAGGTCAGTTGTATTCACTTGCAATGTAAGGGTACGGCCAGAGTGCACTCAGATTCAGATTCAGATTCCGAAAACAAGCGCGAGAAATAAACAGTGTAGTCGAAGGGTACGGCCCGAATGCACACCTGATTCAGACTCAGAAAACAAAGCGCGAGAAAAAGCAGGCAACCTGCTTAGGGTGCGGCCAGAGTGCACTCAGATTCAGATTCAGATTCAGATTCTGAAAACAAGCGCGAGAAAAAAACAGTGTAGTCGAAGGGTACGGCCAGAGTGCACTCCTGATTCAGATTCAGATTCAGACTCAGAAAACAAAGCGCGAGAAAAAGCAGGCAACCTGCTTAGACTACACTGTTTATTTCTCGCGCTTGTTTTCGAAATCTGAATCTGAATCTGAATCTGAGTGCACTCTGGCCGCACCCTTAGACTACACTGTTTATTTCTCGCGCTTTGTTTTCTGAGTCTGAATCTGAATCTGAGTGCACTCTGGCCGCACCCTAAGCCAGTGTTCAATTTAAATAAATAAGGGTCAGCCGCGGCCATCACAGACTACATCGATGCGGCCATATACCACCTCTATCTGATGAAAGCCTTGCGGGACCTGAGGCACAGCGGTGACATTCTCTGTACGTGAGAGTTCCAGCGTCAGTGACCTTGAGCAAGAGCGTGTATGTGCTAGGGTTGAACTTGGAATTTAGACTTGTGCCAATGAATATTTATGCATAGTAAGTTATTAAATGTAAACTGATTCAGGGATACTGGGGTAAATAATGAAGGATAGGTTTGATTTTATAATCAATTTTTAATCTTTTAATGTAGGTACTATAACAAATTGCTAACTTTTATACATTTTCTCCTTTTTCGATTCGTTTCATAATTCTTATTATTAGCTAAATAATAATAAGATTGCGTAGCGTAGTCAGTCTGTGCGTGCAATGCAGTGCAACTCTATTATTTTACTATTTCGCTACTGCCATGCCTTCGGTCGAGGCAGTCGGCGACTGCCCTCTCCACGTCCCGCGCCCCGCGCAACGCCCCCGCGCACCTCCAGACACCCACACATAGCCGCGGGCGATTTTACGAGCACATGCTTATGTGTCGCTTCTTTTCGCGTAGTGTATGTATTCTGTGCCTGAGGTCAAAAATACGAATAGCCATATAAAGTCCGATATTAGTAAGAGATAAAAGGCCTCCGTCATATACCTCTTCTTTGTACCATTTCATCGGTAACTGATTTAAGTATTTAGTATTATCAGTTAACTATAGTACGTCCATGGCTTTAGTATAAATACATTTCCTTGCCAATAAAAAAAATGATTATGTCAGTTATAATGCGATTCAACTAAGAATAGGACCGACTGGGCGCCATATTGTGACGTCATAGCTGTCAATTCAAACCAAATAGGTAGAGTGAGCAAAAAGAAGTTTTTATTTAATAAGATTAAGGAAGCAAAAGCATCAGATTTTTTTAATAACATTTATTTACTAAGGTTGAGAAAAAAAACCCACCGATTTTTAATAATATTTATTTATTAAGACTGTGAGAAAAACATTAATCAGAATCTAGCTCTTCTATTTCGCTCATCTCAGCATTACCGACGGAGTAGTAATGAATAATCATGCACTGTTACTAGGTCACAAACGAACATGCATCCTTTATGTAAAGAAAGTTTGAAATCGAGTTTCTGAACGCAACTTTAAGAGATATTTGGTTGACGATTTAAGTCAAAGAGTTCAAGAGTAGTATATAAATGATTTAAGTTATCAACCATCCATGGCCAAAGCTCAATAATGTCACGGTTACCCTGGTCTACTAAATAAGGTCAGAAATGAGACAACAGAATACCATGCAAATTAATAACTTTAATAAAAACTCGACCCGGAGAAAATAAAAATTATACAAGTGGGGTTGAGCACTTAATCCACACAAGTTCTTTAGCTTCGTCGGTTCAGATACTTTTCTGTGTAACGCCGGGTAGTTGGTGATCCCGGGAGTCGCGTTATGGAAACCGCTGGCGACTGGAGGCTGCAGGAACGGGTACCTGAGCCCGGCAGAGAGTACTCTCGTGTGATGAAAGTAGGGGCTGTGAGGTGATATCGGCCAAATTGGTATCCCGAGCGTTGAACCCCAGTTTCGGGGCGGTCGACACTCACTTCACAATAATTTATCGTATTATTTATTTGAGGAACGCTTAGTGATCACGAAATATATTATATTATGGTTACGAGTTTTAAAGATTATTAATTTTTTTCCGTATTAGAGACCATAAACATAGTGAACCGTACGTGAACGTACGGTTCACTCAAATTAGATCGAGAAATGAAATGGCGGGCGGCCGGTCATGCAGTTTTTGCTTAGCGAGAACAAAAGCTCCTGCTTGGAGCGCTAAAATGTTGCATCGTCGAGTTAACGTATACAAATCCGCTTGATGAATTTATGTTGCATTTTAGTGTCCGTGAATAGTTTTATTATTGTAAATAGCCAATTTGATTATTAATATTATTATGTTTTGTAAATAATTTAGTTATAATAAAATTGTGTTTTATTTTTATAAGTAGTTTTTAGTGTAGAATTAAATGTAATAGTGTTATTATTTTGTTTTAGGCATTGTAAATATTAAATTTAAGTGTATTTTAGGGTAATAATATGAATTATGTAACGCATAACGTTACAATAAATGAAAAAAAAATCAACCGATATTAATTATCAATATTTGTTATTGTTTTTTACAAATGTTTGGTTTTTATTCTTGAATTAGCGGTATGCTAAAAAAGGGTTCCAAGTTTTTTTTTGCAAAACGTACCTTTCAAGCGACATTGAACAGATAGAGGTCATTGGCTTTCCTATTCTTATTTGAATCGCATTATACTGGTCATGGTCACTCTCACTGGATGAGTTTCTGGCGGGATTTCATCGAGTGCGGTTGGCGTCCTTTTTTAAAATCTGTAATCGTTCATAGTGGATATTGCGAAAAAATGATGATTTTGTGTTACAACCGTCTGCACAACTGAAGAATTAATTAGTGAAATCATTAAACTATACGCTATTTCGGTTAAGTGGATGTGAGAACTTCATTGTAATGTTATCTACCTCACAGAAGCTTATCGAGAAAGCTAACTCGATACATGTCTTGCCGAACACTCCAAGAAACATTACAACGTGTCACACCCATATCCCAATTTAAAAAAAAGGAAGATTAATACAAGAATAAGACGATGGCTGCATGGCTTTGCTTTTGCCTTTCCCAATAAAGAAGAATAGAACTAAAAAAAAAACTGTATGGCTGCATGGTTCTGCCTTTGCCTTTCCCAAGATGGAAAAACAGATAAAAAAAAAACAATATCGCTGTTTTCGGAAATTTCAGTTTCGGAAATCGCGTTGCAGCATGCGACCGAGGGCCAATAAATTTGTACTATTTTGAAATGTAGTTTGTAGTACCTAGTGTTAGAAAATCTCACTAAAATGCCGCCCACAGTTCAAACAAACGATTCTGAAAGGGATAAGCGTCCTCAAAGGACGGGTGAGAGAAGGTAAGTCTTGTTTAGCGTTATTTATTTGCTACCACTTGTGAGGTTTTATATTCATACGTATCACAGATTTCTGCTACATATGAATTTCTTTTTAGGTCGGAGTTGGTGACACGAGTAAAGTATTGCAATACATTACCAGACATACCTTTTGATTTAAAATTCATAACTTATCCATTTCCATCGACGAGATTCATACAGTATAATCCAACGTCTTTGGAAAAGAGTTACCGCTATGAAGTTCTGACAGAGCATGACTTGGGAGTGCATATAGATCTGATAAATCGCGACATATATCAGGGTGATGGAAATTCAGCATTGGATCCCGCAGATGAGAAGTTACTGGAAGATGATGTTCTCACTCCTCAGGATTCCAAAAGATCTCGTCACCATGCCAAAAACGTGTCTTGGTTGCGGCGTTCAGAATATATTTCTACAGAACAAACAAGATTTCAACCTCAGACAATGGAAAAGGTAAGTTAAATATGTAATTTCAAATGTACCTAATAATGAAATATTTATTTCTGTGTTGTTTATTTTTAGTAAAAAGTAACAAATCTAGCTCCATTATCATTTTTAATTTTTCAGGTTGAAGCTAAAGTTGGTTACAATGTCAAAAAGATATTCAGTGAGGAAACACTGTATATGGATCGTGAAAGCCAGATTAAGGCCATAGAAAAAACCTTTGAAGACAACAAGAAGCCTATAGAGAAGCACTATAGCAAACCCGGAGTCACTCCTGTGGAGGTCATGCCAGTATTCCCTGACTTTGACATGTGGAAGTACCCTTGTGCTCAGGTCATATTTGACACAGATCCAGCACCTGCTGATAAGAATATAGCAGGACAGATAGAGGCCATGTCACAGGCCATGATTCGGTAAGTTTTGGTGATTTCCATTCACCTTTATTAAAATTGTAAAACAGGTATCAATTACTATTCTTTGCTTAACATATTCAGAAGACAGAATTTTTTGCATGGTGTCTCTCTTTCCTTTTTCATTCTTTATACCATACATATCCTATTAACCCAACATCCTTCTGAGTAACAACATTTCAAAATAATATTGACAGTTAAACTAAATCACTTTGCCACTTTAGTCCAAATGGGATATATATTATTAAAATCAGTTTTCTTTTCTGTGTCAATCTGTTTAATATTTCGTGAAGATCTGTGTACCTTTGAGGACATAAATTTTGGTGGTTTTGGAACCAATGGCCGTTACACCGTACTATTTGGTGAATGATTTGATGTTTACTTGACTAAAAATGTATGGTGGGCAGAGTGATTTTTGCTTAAGCAACATCTAATTCGTAAAGTAAAGGCACTATGTAACTTTTGAATAGGATGATATTCCAAAAACATATTTTATGAATATTTTTTTGTTTTTATGGAGCTACTACTCGTCTATAATGAGTTATGTTTTTTTTTGTGAATAAAACTTTGATCCAGGTATTGAAACCTGTTACAAAAATACCGGTAAATAAAGGTTAATACCGGTTTTTAGTAAAGTTTTCGTTCGGAGCGCGTCCGAAATGAAAGCGGTACCTAAAACCTTAATAAACCGGTTTAATCCAGAGCGACGCGCGCACGCGTCGGCATCGGCATCGCTTGAAGTTTGTTTTGTTTGAACTAATCAAGTCACAACTTGTTAATGCTCAGAGATTGATGCATTTATTGACACGTTTGCTAGTGTCTAGTGAGTCTAGTTATTCATTTTGTAGTTTTGTATTTATTTCAGCCGTCAGTAAGAGCGAAATGAAACCCTTTAAAAATGCTAAATTGATTCAAAACCTATTTGATTTCGCTTTTTAGGAAAACTGGTTTTTGAGGTTAAGGTAGAGCCAAACCTAAATAAAACGCTCCTGACTGTACTTGACACTGATTTAGGTTTGGAAATTAACCAGTAAACAAGCCCTGCTTTGATCCTCTTTTCTGTAAAGTTAATAAGTGGTGCTTAAGCAATTTTCTTTTCTATTGTCAATATAGATTACGTTTAAGTTTAGTTTTCAGAATCTTACGTAATGTGATTCAGTTTTTACATGATGTTTAGATGATATTTATGAAAAGTTTTTTTGAATATTAAATAAAATAAAAAAGCCTTTATACCGCTACCAGTTTACAAAATTTGTTTGAAAATTAGTTTTTTTTTTCTTCTTTTGTTGTAAACGTGGCGTGTCAGTGACACAAGGCCTCCCCCAGCCTCTACAGGATGTCCAGCCGATGCTCGAATCTTTGGAGAAATGCTGCTTCCAATCTTCGCCACTCAGATCTGTTTAGGGCTATTCTTCTCCAGTGAACTCCCACCGTCTGTTTAATCTCGTTTGCCCATCTAGCAACTTGCCGTCCCCTGCTTCTTTTTCCATCTCTGGGGTACCAGTTGGTAACAACTTTACTCCATTTTTCTGATTGGTTACGTATCATGTGGCCTGTCCATCTCCATTTTTGTTGGTCTATTCGGGTCAGGATGTCAGTTACTTTGGTCTTCCGCCTGAGGTCTTCGTTTTTCCATCTATCTTTCTTTGTTATTCCTAACATACTCCTCTCCATAGCTCTTTGACAGTATTCGAGCTTATCTCGGTGTTGTTTTGTTAGTGATCAAGTTTCGCATCCATATGTCAGGCATGGCAGGATACAGGTATTAAATACTTTTCTCTTTAGTGATATGCTTAGGTCTCTAGCTTTGGTTATCTCCTTCAGACTCCAATATTTCTTCCATCCATTGGCTATCCGTGAGTTCACTTCTTTAGAAGTTTGACCTCTGGCTGAAATAATTTGACCAAGATAGATATATTCTTGCACATACTCCAAAGCGATATTGTCAACTTGAATAGCAATTTTAGATGAGTTGGTTAGAAGTTTAGTTTTATCAGGATTCATCTTTAATCCAACTGTTAGGCTCTCTTTGGTTAATTCCTGAATCATTCTCTCCAGGAGCCTCGGGTCTTCTTCGAAGATCACAATATCGTCTGCGAACCTTAGATGACTTAGCCTTCTTCCATCTATCTTTAACCCATACTCATCCCAGTGGAGCTTGCGGAAAATATCTTCCAAAACAGCAGAAAAAAGTTTCGGTGACAGTGGATCCCCTTGTCTTACTCCTCTTTTTATGTCAATTTTTTTGCCTAGTGATCCTAACTTTATTTTTGCTGAACTGTTTTGGTAGATGTCTCTTAAAACCGCAATATATGTTCCGGATACTCCTTGTTTTGCTAAAGTTGACCAGATAGATTGGTGGCTTACACTATTAAAGGTTTTTGAGTAGTCTATGAAAGCAATATATACAGATTTGTTATATCGTTCCATGATCTGTTTAATAGTGTGAATGTGGTCAATTGTTGAATAATTTTTCCTGAATCCAGCTTGTTCTATAGGCTGATTCTCATCTAGTATCTGACTAATTCTATTTAATATTACCTTGGCAAAAACTTTATAAACATTGGACATGAGGCTTATAGGCCTATAGTTGTTAATATCATCTTTGGGACCTTTTTTGTGTATAAGTATTATGTGAGCTTCTGTCCATTGTATTGGTATGGTTTTATTATTTAATATTTTGTTGAAAATAGTAGTCAGAATTGGAGTTATTTCTTGGATTGTTCCTCTTAGTAATTCATTGGGAATTCTGTCTGGTCTTTTTTGAATATTATAAATAAATAAATAAATCATAAATAAATATTTCCAACACTCACACCAATTAGCCTAGCCCCAAAGTAAGCACTGTAAGGCTTGTGTTATGGGATACTAGGGTAACGGATAGGATACATATATATACTGTACATATATAAGTATATTTATATAGATATACATTTTAAACATCCATGACTGGAGTACAAATGCTCGTATTCATCACACAAACATCTGCCCCCACCGGGATTCGAACCCGGGACCTCTCGAGTCGGCGACACCATGAAACCCGGCGTATAAACCACTAGGCCTCGGAGGTCGTCGATATTGTATGATCATAATTCATAATAGTTTAAATTTTATGTAATTTACATCTGATTTACAGAGGTGTGATGGACGAAAGTGGAGAACAATTTGTTGCATATTGCTTGCCCACCGAGGACACAATTCAGAAACGTCGTCGTGATATTACTGAAAGCATACCATACATGGACGGTGACACTTACGAGTACAAAATGGCCAGGGAATACAATTGGAATGTCAAAAGTAAAGCCTCCAAGGGTTATGAAGAAAACTATTTCTTGGTGAGCAAAAATTTTAGTTGTTGTGTACAGTTAAAAGTGCAGTCCAACGGCGTGTGTTTTGCGCGGGCGCGGCCGCGTCGCGCAGTGTTGCCAAACGTATGAGAACTCTTAAATTTGAGATTAAGCAGTCTCTATACATGATAAAAGGTAAATAGAAATCTCTATTTTTAATTTTTAGGTGACCTATCCCAGTAAAAATGGTAGTTTGTGACTTTTAGCATATTTCATTGTTAATATCATAAATAATAAGAAGCATGTGATATAATACAAGCTTAATATTTTACTTTTAAAAAGTTATTATATTGTTTTAAACTTGTAAAGAATTCAAAAATTAATCAAACAAATAAAATAGCTGACATAATAAAGGATGGATGTAGTGGTATTATCTTTATTATTTCTTGATAAGTTTTCACCATAACAATTTCCAATTTTGTGGCATTCTCGACTTGCTTAGTCAGTTTATAAGAAACACTAGCGGCCGTCCGCGACTTCGCATGTAGTTAGTTAGAAATAAAAGTTCAATGCTAGTTCCCCGTAGGTGATTGCGTGATAATATGTAGCCTTTATGTTGACTCGACTTCTTTATAATATTTGTGCCATATTTGAAGTAAATCCATGCAGTACTTTTCGAGTTTATCCCTGACATACATACAGACAAACAGACAAAAATTCTAAAATCTATGTTTTTGGCTTCGGGATCAATTGTAGATTCACACATATAGATGTAAGACAGGTTTAAAACCAATAAAACCAATCTGTTTAAAACGAAAAAAAACGTTTAAAACCGAAATAAACCATTTTTTTCGATTTAAAACGGTTGGTGTTGATGACTATGTTTTTAACTATAACTACATTGTCTTGATTTTACCGAGATAGGAATATAACGCAGTACCTATAAACTGTATAAAGATTTTTTAAATGTGTGATATACTTACTGATATTGATATACACACATCAAAAGTGTCTAGGGATCAAGCATTTTTATGCGGATTTCTTGAGATTGAGATGTGGCTTTGTAATAAATTTATGATTTTATAAATTTATATGGATCCTTTTTGGTGCATTTCATAATTTGAATCAGGAACTGTGAATCAAATTCGAGTAAAAGATGAAAATCAGCTGTCAATATTTTCCCTATAAAAACATACAACGCATTGAAGACATTATTAGTGCTACTGTTTCCCTACTACTGATTAAAACCAACGTTATTATGGAGCGGCGACGTCATTTAAGCAGGGAAGAAATGCTCAGAGCCGTGGGAATGATAGAAGCTGGTTCCCGGCAACGTACTGTGGCTTTAGCTCTGAATACAAGTCAGAGTGTTATCAGTCGACTTTGGACACGATACCGAAGCACTGGTACCGTGGCTGAGCGCCATGGAGGACGGTATCGCTGCACCACACGGAGACAAGACCGATACATTCAAATCTTAACTCGAAGAGCTCCAACAATAACCGCCATGATGTTAGCCGTGAGGCTTCATCACTCTTCAGGGAACTTAATTAGCGACCAAACAGTCAGAAACCGCTTGCATGAAGTGAACCTTCATTCCCGAAGACCGCTACGGGTACCACCTATAGCAATGCACAATCGTAGGATTCGATATCAATGGGCTCTTGAACACAGAAATTGGGCAGAAGAACAATGGCGTTTCGTGTGCTTTTCTGATGAGTCTCGTTTTGGTATGAGACCGGATACAAGACGTATACGACACTGGAGAACCCCTGGACGCCAACAGCGATTAAAATCCTGCCAGGAAGTCCATCCTTATAGTGGTGGAACCATCATGGTATGGGCGGGTATTTGGATCGGCGGAAGAACTGAGTTGATTTGGATCAGAGGCAACCTCAACGCTCAAATTTATGCTGAGACGATTGTATCAGACGTCATCGTTCCTCTACAAGTGCAAATCGGTCCCTTATTTCAGTTAATGCATGATAATGCACGACCGCACACCGCAAAAGTTGTAAGACAGACTCTCGCCGCAGCTAACATCAATGTCCTGCCCTGGCCTGCTCAGTCGCCAGACTTGAACCCGATTGAGCATGCATGGGATATGCTACAGAGAAGAGCTCTGCCGAATATGGAGGGTATCCAGTCGCAAGAAGACCTTTTTTTGTTGTTGCAACGAACATGGGCGGCCATTCCACAGCGTGATTTGGATGAACTCATTTTGAGTATGCCAAACCGATGTTCTTGTGTTGTTAGTGTTCGCGGTAGAAATACGGATTATTAATTGTTTAAGTTACCCAATAAAATTTTAGAGAAAACTGTTATTTCAGTCTTTTTTTCGAACTTTTGTGTTAGTGGTTCAAATGTCAAAAATCCCTTTATTAGGAAAATGGCAAATTTCTTTATTAATGCAAAGGTGACTTGGTTTATCGTTACTGTGACAAACGAAAACACTTTATTTGATGAATCCTTAAAGAAAATTTTAATTAATATCAATCAGGAGAAAAGTTATTGCAAAAATATATGTTGATCCCTAGACACTTTTGATGTGTGTACTTAGCGAGTTTAGTTCTAGTTGGTCCATCCGCGACCAAGCATAGGTATTACCTACCTTGTTATAAAAACTCATAAGTTAAAAACTCTGTGTTGGTATATAAAAAAAAAACATTGTTTTCAAACGATATAAATCAATTCAATCAATTTGATTCGGTTTAAAACCAAACTCACACTCTCGCACTCTCGTTGTCGTCACTCGTCGACGTCGTCGTTACTCGATGCAAACGTTGTTGCCAGCTTGCCTACCCTACACACAAATGACACATGCACATACATAAACTGCCGGCCGCCGCGCCGCGCACGCACACTTCTCAGGCGCGAATACAACAGGGGGTAGGTTGGGGCATGGATGGAGTTTGCTGACAATAATTACATCATGTACAGTCAGGTCACAAGCCCATTTTAAAACAGTTAACATCTCTATGTATCTTGTTGTATATGTCAAAATGTGCTTTTAAAAGTGACCCCCTGATTGTAAGTACGTTCGCATGTAGTTTTTGCATCTTAATTAAAAGGGTTTGTTATTTATGATGACTGTAAATAAAGAACTAGTACAATCAAATTTTAACGTTTACATATTTAATAATCAACATTACAAAATTAAGAAATTGGATTCTTCTAACATCACAGGTATTTACCGGCGCGGCGGCACCAGCGCGACGGCGTTGAAGACTTTGTCTCTTTCAAGTAAAAAGGGCGGCATTGTGTTAATGATGTCTTTTATTTTTATTCTAGTGTGTGTTATATAATATATGTATAATAAATAAGTACTTAAGTATGATGGTACCTACATACCTACTTAAGTTTTCGTGGTACCTAGGCACAGTGTTTTATAGAACCAAAAATATTTACACCTTAAGGTTTTTGCATAAATCAATTATTTAAACCCTAATAAAGGCAAGAGTTTAATTCCCAGATCACTATTTTAAGTAAAAAAAAAGATATGAAGTAGCAAAGTTTTTGAAATTTGCGCATGAAAAAATTAACAATTTAATTTCCTCAAAAGACGGGTCCATATCTGTCCATGAGATATTTGCCACTTGCTAAGGAATTATTGATGGCATAATTTTGTAATTTTATTTTATTTATAAGTGTCCTAGTTTCCAAGAGTTTTTTTAAATTTCGATTTTTAATTTTTTTCTCCAAAAATCGGCAAAAGTGGAACCTGGATTTAGTACAGAAAGGTTCTATAAGCCAAGTTTTATCACCCATAAAAAAATCAAGTTTCACTTTTGCGGTTTTAAGAAGTTATGACAGAATTTAGATAAAGGTCAACTTTCATGATCTAGGGTTGTCACAAAGGTCAACTATGAGTTAAATGAAAATGGTTTTTTTTTTGTTATTAATACCGTCAATCAATTGAATAAATTATATTATATTATAATTGAATAAGTGTTGTACTTATAGACGAATACAATATACTTACATATACTACCTACCTAATGTAGATGTGATAATGTAGGAATACTTTATGTTTTAATTTTGACGACCACATTTTAATTTTGCCTTACACGCAAAATGGCAACGAAAAAATAAACTATGTTGTCTGAAAAATTTTAACACACATCCTATACTATAAACGAGCAATTATTGTATGTACCTATATAAATATATTGGTATGTAATTGGTTTCTCGGAAACGGATCTAACGATTGTGATGAAATTTTGGATTTAGAAATTCATTCACATTTAAAATCAATCTAGGATAGTGTCATCACCTGCCGGCACCTTCTTTATGCAACACCTCTACTTTAACTTTTATACAAATAAATCATCTTCGTTTAATAATTCTAGGTTGCTTTCATTTGCGACGTTCGAAAAATCTTCATCTTCAGCATCTTCCTCTGCTTCGAATAACGGCAATCGATCTGCATCAATTGGTTGTAAGAGCTCGCAAGCAGCTGAAGGCAAGGGAAATCGCTTAGAATATTTTCGACGTTGGCTGATATTTGCCATAGAAATAAACGGGTCTGATGATTCTAGGGCATGGTGAAAGAGGTCCGTCATTGTGGTTCTCCTGTTCATTTTTCGGCAATGATGCTCTCTGTCTGAACGCTAGAATTTATTTCGGGACTCAGCTGCTTGTTCAGATAGCATACCGATGGGCAGTGCACTGGACGCAATAATTTCTTCACCGTGCCTGAGGATTTTATGAACTGTTACTGTCATCGGCTGCCAACTATAAAAACGGACATATTTTTCAACCCTAGCTCATGAAAGTTGACCTTTATCTAAATTCTGTCATAACTTCTTAAAACCGCAAAAGTGAAACTTGATTTTTTTATGGGTGATAAAACTTGGCTTATAGAACCTTTCTGTACTAAATCCAGGTTCCACTTTTGCCGATTTTTGGAGAAAAAAATTAAAAATCGAAATTTAAAAAAACTCTTGGAAACTAGGACACTTATAAATAAAATAAAATTACAAAATTATGCCATCAATAATTCCTTAGCAAGTGGCAAATATCTCATGGACAGATATGGAACCGTCTTTTGAGGAAATTAAATTGTTAATATTTTCATGCGCAAATTTCAAAAACTTTGCTACTTCATATCTTTTTTTTACTTAAAATAGTGATCTGGGAATTGAACTCTTGCCTTTATTAGGGTTTAAATAATTGATTTATGCAAAAACCTTAAGGTGTAAATATTTTTGGTTCTATAAAACACTCGGTGTCAACCCTAGCATAAAAATTTAAAAATTAATATCTTCTAAACGCCGCAAAAGTGACACGTGGCTTATTTATGTATGATAGACCACATCCGTAGGTTTATTTCTATCTAAGTTCTAGGTTCCACTTTTTCGTTTTTAGGGAGAAAAAACAATAAATACGAAATACAAAAAAAAAATGCTGCTCCCAAACCAATGCATTTTTTTAAGCTAAAGAAACGCGTTTATACGCCTCTGATTATGCCCGATTGACACATATTTATTAAAAAAATATATTGTTAATATTCACTTTATAAAAAAATATTCTAGATTTCATAGGTCAAAGGTCACGATAAGTTCATGATTTTTTTTCTCAAAAAGTATTTGAGTTAGACTTCTGTAAATTGAACTCATGCCTTTTTTAGGTTATAAATAATCTATTTATGTAAGAACCTGAACACGTAATTTTTTTTGGTTCCATAAAACACTGTGCTAGGTAATGTACATACGTAGGTACTTTCTATTGATTTTCTTTATGCCTACTAAGTAAAACGAAACATAACGTCAGGTAACCAAAAATTGACCATAATGAAGTGTAAAAAACATAGTTCTTTAATTTTTGTATGCCAGTTTTCAACCGTTTAAAACGATTTATTTGGGGTTTAAAACGGCAACATTTTGTTTAAAACGTTTTAAATCGGTTGTTTTACATCTACATTCACACCCCAAGTATTCTTTTAAATTCTACCGTTACTTTCTACTTTCCTACCGTTTTATTATTTGTATAGATTATTATGTGGTACAGGTGGTCCGTAACCATTGCGTGTACTACAACGAGCTGGAGACTCGGGTCCGCCTGTCGAAGCGTAGGGCTCGCGCGGGTGCTGCGGCGCAGGCTCTTACAAGACTCGTGGTCACCCATCGCCCTCTCAGCGCTCCCGAGCACCGCATGCTCAGACTGAGGGAGAAACAACTGGAGCCTCCGCAGGTAATATGTGTGTTAACGTAGTTTATTCTATATTGAAATTGAAATTAAAAGCCTTAAGGCCCATATTAAGAACGCTCAAGAGACACAATCTTGAACTCTGAGAGCAATCTTCAGATGCTGTTTCAAAACAAAACAGCAGCTCTCGAGAGTTGAGTGTTCTATTAATACATTAATGTGTTCTATAAATTTTTACAAGTTTTTCAAGTATTTGTGATTTTTCTACAGACTGTAAAATTAATGATATATAAAATTATTACGCAATTTTTCTTGCTATTTTTACTAAGGAGGAAGACGAAGAAGAAGAAGAGGAGGATGATGAGGATGAGGAAGAGGACAAACAAGAACAACAGAATGAAAAAGAAAGGTTAGTGTCTAGCTGGATCATGATGTTAGTACCCAACTGGATGAAATTGAGCCTCACTTGCACCAAAGTTCTTAAATAATAAATTAAAAGCTAAGCGTGTTTAAGCCTCATTATAACTCTACTTGACTTTAAACTTCAAACAGTAAAAAATGGAATGATCCTTAATTTGTATGAATAATGTTGGTGCAAGTGGCTCTGAATTTTATGAATAGTCACTCATATGAGTGACCTAAGCAGGGGCTTAATAAGGAGAATGCTTTTTATATTTTGTTAAGTGGTTTACATCTCCTTTATTGTGGCTCTGAATTTTATGAATAGTCACTCATATGAGTGACATAAGCAGGGGCTTAATAAGGAGAATGATTTTTTATATTTTGTTAAGTGGTTTACATCTCCTTTATTCAATATAAAAATATCGAAGTCGAAAAAATAGTATAGTGTCAAAAAAATGTTAACTAAAGCCACTTTGCAGGGGCAGTTTAAACACAGGTTCGGGAACAGGTACGTTCGAAAATAGTTTCGAACGTTTGGATGTGACGTCACGATACATCTAAACCTACAAGCAAGATCAATAACCTTAACAGATACTCCCATTTTGCGTTCTATACCTTAGAAGTCGGACCTACGACAGTCAAATAGACATTATGTTCCTTACATTTTTGGTAAAAAAAATAATGTCATAGTGATAACTTACATTCGTTGTCGGTGGAACGCGGCTTTGACATCTACGCAATCGCACTATAATCGTTGATATTGACATATCTTGGGAACATCATATTTGTTATATTTTTACGTCACCACCGCTCTTGTCGCGTTTCAAAATATGTGAATTTCCCACAAATTGTTCGCTCTTTTATTTCAATAATTTCTTGCTCGAAATTTATTAACGAACATTGATGGCGGGACAGCTAAGAAGTAATAGTTTATATAAAAATAAAATGAGGCTTATTTGTATAACATGCATAATCGCTATTAGCCTAGGGCGTAGAGGGCCAGGGCCCCGGGGAGGCAGGCTGATAGAAAGGCATTCGTTACTGCCCTATATTTTGATAAGATTTACTAATTCTACGGGGGAGGGGGAGCTAATCGTAACATATGCCCCTGGAGCATTAGTTTGGTGCATATGCGTCTTTTTGGTCTGAATATTAAACAATATAAATAAATATTGTTACGTGTCGGAATGAGGTTCGAAATTATATGCCAGTTCACTCTTGACAGTTTTTTATTCACCACACAGTTCACAGTTTTATCTTAAACACACAGTACTACACTCGCTTTACATAGTTTCAAAGCGATAACAGTTGTTTCAACAGCGATTTCGGAAGGAATACAAAGGCGATCTAAGTGCAAGTAAAATGTTCAATTGCGATTGTTTATAGTGTACGGTGAGTGTAGTTTTGTGTTGCGTTAATGAAAAAACTGTGTGGTTAATAAAGAACTGTCAAGCGTGAACTGGCATATCATTTTGAACCACATACCGACACGTAACACTGTTATGTGCCATGGTAGTACTGAAGAAATAAATGAACCACTTGCTTTTCAAGTGAGTTTATTAAAAAAAAACAACCATTGGGCTTCAACAAACAATTTTTATTGATTCCGTCTAGATCGCGTTCTCGTTCAAAATCGGGGTCGAAGTCTCCGCAAGGGTCGGAGAGGTCCAAAGGTTCGAGGTCGAGGTCAAGGTCAAGGTCGAGGTCGGGATCGAGGTCACGGTCCCGCTCCAAATCCAAGTCAAAATCGCGCAGTCGCTCGAGGTCAGCGTCAGGATCGAGGAAATCGAGGTCGAGGTCAAGATCTGGATCAGCAAAGTCCGGGTCAGCGAGGTGAGCATGTAGATATTGAAATGAAATGTCAACGATTTAGAAATGACATGGAAGCATTAGTCTCCAACTTTAAATGGTTTTAAAATGATGTTAAACTCATACAACTAAACTTCAATATTAATGCGACAAGCACACTAACAAAACAATATATTCTTAGGTTTTCACGCACATCACTCATTAAATAAAACTAGTTTTTATGCGTTATATGTACTGAATTTATTTCAGGAATTCCGAAAATTATTCCGACGACGCATTCCTGAAAAGGATAGTCAGTAAATAAATTCAGTACATCTAACCCGTAACTAGTTTTACAAAACAATAAACTTTGGCAAATCAAATATCTGCTGCATATGATTCGGCTATCCATTCATTGGGTAAGATCACAAAATACAGAACGAGGTTAGAAGGGTCTTGTGGGCGGGGCAGGCCCGCCACCGTCATGTGAGCAAATGCTCATAACTTGACCAAAACTTAGTTCTGTATGCGTCATTGCTCTCGAGTGTGAGCGCTGATTGATTAGATTGTTTGATGTCGGAGCGTTTGATTGGCTATTAGGGGGAAGTGTAGCGGGGGCTAACCTGCGACACAGTTGCCGTACAAATGGCATCAACCTTCTAACCTCCTTCTGTGTACTGTGAGTAAGATAATGTAAATGGAAATCCCAATCAATTGTTCGATCGGCTTGTCGATCGCATTTTTAACTTCGCCATCACCACGGAACCACTTTTAAGCGCAGTTTGTAATCCATTTTATTTCTAAATCGTTGTGAAATATCAATAGATGAATAAATAAGAAGTATAGTTGAATTGTTGTAACAAAGGTTAATAAGGTTTCTTGTAGTAACGTAAATGAATTAGAAAAGTGAAAATGACGTTGCCCTCCTTTTAACCCCCCTTGAAGAATTATACCTGGTATAAAAAGTATCCTACGCCCTTCCCCGGGCCTCAAACTATATCTGTACAATTTCATATAAATCGGTTGAGAGGTTACAAACTTCCACACCTTTTTAAAAATTATACCTGGGATAAAAAGTATCCTACGTCCTTCCCCAGGCCTCGAACTATATCTGTTCCAAATTTCATATAAACCGGTTGAGCGGAGCAGAAAGACAGACAGTTTATAATATTAGTATGGTTTAGCTCCGCCCGCCAATACGTCCGCGTTATAGTTAGTTTTATTACGCGATCCCATAAGAACTTAAAATTCCGGGATAAAAAGTAGGTCATTATTTATATGCATACCAAATTTCACGGATTACGTTCAGTAGTTTTTGCGTGATTTATTAACAAATATACAAACTCACATTCATAATATTAGAAGGATAAAAGGCAAAGTAGCATACTCAGTTTATACCCCAGCAAACTTCTTCGGCTAATCTACGAAGAACAGAGCCAGCACAGTACCAATTTTACATACAAAAACGTCCACTGCGCAAGTTTATTTGTCTCTGGTGTAGCCAAAGGAGTTTGCTTATACAAGTTCTTCTGTTGTCCTTAAACAAGTTCTGCCCTTCTAGCATGAGCTCGTTTTTATCACGATATATTTTTTTATTTTTCCAACACACACCAATTAGCCTACCCCCAAAGTAAGAGCACTTGTGTTATGGGATGCAAGGGTAATGGATAATACATATACTGTACATGTATAAGTATATTTATATATAAATACATATTAAAATCCATGACTGGAGTACAAATGCTTGTATTCATCACACAAACATCAGCCCACACCGGGATTCGAACCCGCGACCTCTCGAGTCGGCGACACCATGGAACCCGGCGTAAGAACCACTCGGCTACGGAGGCCGTCAATTGTCAAATTACTATGGATTTTGATAGTTAGATGCGATGAAAAATGTGATTATATAATTTGTTGTGCTTATTCTAAAGGGATTGCTCCAAACATTTTCACTTTTAAAGGCGTAAATCTGTTCTTAGATCACGCTCCGGTTCAGCCAAATCCAAGTCCCGGTCTCGGTCCCGGTCGGGATCCCGCGCATCATCCCGGGCCTCCTCCCGCGCTTCCACGAAGAGCAAGGCGTCTCGGGCCAGTTCTGGCAGCGCTCGGTCTAAGGCCAGCTCTAAGGGGAGCGGGAAGGTAAGTTTATTATAGACTTTATATTTATCATTGATGTCACCGAAGTCGAAAAACATGAGATCCGAAAAATGAAATGGACAAGTTTCTAGAAAGAAAGTAGTCTAGATTCTGGCATGATTCTGTTAACTTAAAACTAAAGGACTTGCTGTATTTTTATACGTCGGCTGGGCTATTGCAATGATCAGCAAATTATATTTTAATGAAAAAAAAAATACATGTGTTACATTTTAAAATTTTATATTATTTAAATCACACTGTCATTTCACATACTTATAGCCAAAGCATTAAAGATCTGATATATTTTAATTGTATTTTTATTTATTACTGTAATGAAACATTTTTAGATAATTTTAAGATGTTCCTCAAATCAAAGGACATGGTAAAGTTTTGTATTAGCGACTGCCCTGGCAATGTATAAATACTGTACTTAGTAATATTGAATAAATTGATAAATGGCTGAATATTTATAATTTCTATGAAAAAAGGCTCAGGAACTTTTGATAAAGTCACCTTACTACAGTTGATAAAAGATGTTGCCAATAGGCTAGTTGACCCTTTTTGGAAAAAGGTTTTTAATGGTTAATAAATGTTCTCTTAGACCGAAAAAAAATGTATTGTATTTTTTTGAGACCTAAAAAGCTACAAATCTTTAATTTTAAAATAGATTTTTCATGGACATACAAAAACGCTGTCGGCCATTTTAGTCTATAGATTATCTATGCTATGACGTTAACTGCAGTAAACACAGAGAAAGGTAAATAAACAAAAACTCGTAAGCACGTAGAAAATAACTTAAATGATTTTATAATAATCAAAAGATGATTTCTAATAAATACCCCGAAAAATAAAGTAATTATCATTATTGTATTGTACGAGAATATAAAAACACATCCTTGAAGACTCCAGGAAAGTTGTGGATTAAAAGTGCCGAAAGAAATTAACCTACGCAACTTTATTACACTTATTCATATGTTGTATCAGTTTTATGTGTATTACATTACTACATTGTAATACTAAATACACTGTACTTACATAGATGCCTTGTCGTTTTTCTGCTCCGCAGAGTAGAAATCGGGGTTTAGTGCTATAAATTCACCAACCATGAATGCGTCAATTCTTAGCAGATTTGTGCTTTCTGTTTTCACAAAGCCGGCATCCATAATTAGTTTTTTCAGAAAAAAACAGTAAACGGAAGCTTTTCTAAAGCTAAAAGTGTTTTAAGATAAATTTAGTCAGACGAAAGAATCCACCCACAGTAACACGCGAATGACATTTAGTTGTTTACCATAAGAGACGTCACAATCATGGCGGATGTGGCGGATAGCGTTTTTAGTGTTTAGAAAATATAGACTAAAAAATATTTTTTTAAATTAAATTTCTGCAGCAATCTTCTGCTTTTATGAAGTGAAATCGATATATTTAGGTTCCTTAGACCAAATACTTTAAGAAATAAACATTTATTTAATACAATTCGACATGAGTCAACTAGCCTATTATTTACAGAGTCATCAATTTCGCATTTTATTAGAATCTTTCTTCCCATTTCTCTGATTAAATCTTCTCAAAAAGTTTTTTTAAAGCAAAAATAAATACAAATAATTTGTTATCGTCGGCCTGACAGGAAATCTGTGAAGTTTTATTTTGTCCATTTGCAAAAATTAAAGGATTAATTATCATACAGCCTTGTCTCAAGCCTAATCAGAAAAATAAAATCTATTAGTTTAGGCCTTCCGTGATTTGTTGTAACAAAAATTAGGGCCAAATATGTCATATTTTGAAGGAGTTTAGAAATAATATTGTTTATTTCGATATAGTTACACAGATATTTTTGAAGTTATACTTCTTTAGGCGCATTATGAAAAAATGATGAGAGTGAAATTTTAAGATGCGCGCGCATCACTGTAACACGAAATTTTAACAGCATGAAGTTGGTTTATTATATAAGGAACTTTTGGGTTTACCGCACATTAAGAAAATCTACCAACAAAATAGAATCTCTATTTAGTGGGTGCTAACGACTGCATCGTGAATGCTTATCAAAAGTATTTATTAATCTGGAACAACGGAACCAAAGCGCGATTCAGGAGACTACAGCGCCATCTTTATTTTTTGTAATAAAGTAACAGTTATAGGTATTCACATTTATAATATTTATTATCCACATGTTTCTAGTTTGTATATTCGGAATACGTGTTTGAGTTTCATACAAGTGCAAATCACATATGTTCTAATAAATTATATTCAGTAGCGATTTTAATTGAATATTTTGATTATTTATTTATTTTTTCAAATTAAAACTGAACTTTATTGACTGTGTCCTTTTCCAGACTTTTTATTAATTTATAATAATTAATTATTTTAAGTAATTAATTATTTGCATGCAATTAAAAACTAATTTTAAACGATGCCAAAGAAGGATAACTTCTCACGCGCCTACATAAGTACACGCACCCATTTTTTTTTGTATACATTTATTGTTCATTTGTTTTGTAAAACGGAACATTTTGCTTTTGAAACAGACATGGAAGTCAATTTTTATACTTTTAAATATATGATTATTTCACGAAAGTTGTATGAGAATAATAAACACGTAATAATTAATAAAAAAATATTGTAAAATTACAGGCTAGTGCGAAATATTTATACACGTTAAGGGCAGTTTCTTAGCCTTGTCTTGTAACGTTGTTCCAATATAAAATTTGATTTTTGAAATTCAGACATATATTTTTTTTATAAAATGTACAGTATTTTATTCTAAAAATTAATGGGAACAGGCGGGCAATGAATGATATATTATTATGACCACGCACCGTATGTTTATAACTGAATTTGAAATGAAATTATTTTAGGGCTCCAAAGCAAGTTCAAAGGCGAGTTCCAGGGCGTCGTCTCGCGCTAGCAAACGGTCTTCTAGGGCTTCGTCCAGAGCCTCCAGGGCATCCTCTAAAGGCTCTGGCTCGAAGGCCTCTTCTAGAGCCAGTTCTAGAAGGAACTCTGGTTCTGGCAGCGGCTCCGAGAAGTCCAAGAGTAGATCCCCTAGTGGCTCCAGACAGGTGATTATTTGTTTATTTCCATATTTACATTTTATTTATTTTTACAATATTACGAGAAACGGAACTTTTAGATGAATCAGTAATTTGAACATGGGGCAGATGGTGCATTTAATGTTTTTATTTTGGTGTGGCAGATTAATGGGGAAGAAAACTGACAATTCTCACCGCCAGAGGCGCTAGTGTCGCATGACCCATGACATTGTCAAAATAGAAAATAAAAGTGAACAACTTTTTTTTCCTGAAATGATATGTTGTGTGTTGATTCGGTAAAATATAAGGGTTGATAACCATTTTCCTTAAAGAATTAGTAAAAATATAAGCATACCTAAGATGTAAGTTTCGAAATTACCATTTTCAGTAAACTTTACTGTAGTATAGTAATCATTTTATGTTTCAGGGTTCACGTAGCGGGTCAGCGTCGAGTGCGTCTTCGCGCCACAGCGCTTCTGACTAGATTAATAATGATATCCTGTAATTATTTAGACTGTAAACTATTTTCAATAAATAAATTGACAATTCAGTGTAACTTTATTCTATCCATTGACCATTCCGCATTAAACCCGCTTGATAATAGCCCGTTCCTATTTTTTTTATGTAGGAACGCCGCGAGGATATCTGGTACGGCAAAAAAATGTGCAGCTCTATCTTTTTTTATACGAGGCGCAACAATAGGGTATTTGACTATATTAAAAATAAAGTGCCAATTGTTAGCATCTGTTTAGATTGAAAATTGGCAGAGGTTTTTACTATTATTATAAAAAAAAATATTCATAATTTTACTAAAAACTTCGAAAAAAATAATAGTTTTCCTGTCTATTGTCACGTGACCCAAAACGCTATGGATTGGCGGAGCCTAAAATGACGTCACACGCAAGTAAACTTCCGGTTAAAGTGACATTACATTCTATCGTTCGACGTTTTAATAACAGTCGTGTGACGTCACACACTAGTAAGACGCCATACTGTCCAGAGAAACGTTGAACGTGAAAATGGAGTTTTGATTTGGTTATTTTTACTGAAATACACAACAGAATGATGAATATCCACTTTTTACGGACTCCATAAACATTAGTCAATAACGTGACATTGTTGCCTAAAACTTGTCAAATACCCTATTATTACCCCTCGCCACCTGTTGTTAAGTGTAAGTAGAGTCCAGTCGCGAAGATAAACATGGAGCACAATTATGTATGCTAGCACTTCACATGGCCATTCGTATTTGCTATTTGTCATTTTGACAGTAGGCTGTCCTTATCATACTCTACACGGAATGAAAAGAAGAAACTGATACAGTTCACAATTGCAAATACAAATAGAAGTGGCGGCATGAAAGAGAAGCCAGTTTGTCAAATGTTGTAAATCTAGCTTTCACCCGCGACTTCGTCTAGATAGTTAGTTTTTTAGGAATCCTGCGGGAACCTTATATTTTCCGGGATTAAAAGTTATAAATTATGTATCAACGAGAAACGATTTTAAACCCAACAAGTGGGAGATATTTTTTTAACGCATCTGCACTGCCACGCTCTGTCTAGGGAGTTTTTAATCAAAGGCGTAACAATGAAACTGGAAGAGATCTCATTAGATTAAAATTTCTATGTTAAATATCTTAGATGTAAAAACAAAGCTGATAGGGGGGAATAAACGAATGTATAATTTATACTTTATGTACAAACATATTCTTTAATGGAAATTGTTAATTTGTCGCATAAACATGCATGCCTGATATTTGGGCCGATTCTTAATTCCAAAGGCCAACGCACTGACCCCTCTAATATTATAGCCATAGAGTGCATTTTTAACATTGAAGTTGACTTCAACATGTCTTCTGTATGAAAAATAAAAACAACTTAAAGATAGCGGTATTAATTTATTAGTGCATTTTTTACTGGATTACATGAAAAACAAAACATTCTCACACAAAATATAATATTGTTCCCATTATATACACATTATTGCATGGAAAATTTTAATTATTAGAAATTGAAAAATTATAGTTATTACAACATTAAAAAGTTAATAAACTATTTTTACAAGTATAAGAACGAAAATAATTTTCATATTTTGTTTCTTAGGTTTTCACACACACCACTCATTAAATAAAACAAGTTTAAACGGTGTAGATGTACTGATTTATTAGGTTCTTGACGTTTCGCATCCTTTTCAGGCTGCGTCGTCAGAATTAATCGATAGAGAATAATTCGCAATAGACGCAGCCTAAAAAAGAATGTTTTATTAGATCATGTTTTTTTTAATTTGTTTAAAAGTAAGTTATTCTGTTACTGGTGTCATTAAAATAATTTTGCCTATAGTTTCAATAATATTCGATATGTATAAAATTTTAACATTATATATATTGTTTCTTGTGTTAATATTTTTTAAGATCTCATAAGAATATACCTCAACACTTTCTTTCTAGGTGTCGTAAAAAAATACGACTTTCAATAATAAACATTATTATAAAATATCACACATAATTTCATTCAAGTAATAAATATGTTACACACTCAACACATCTGCTTTAGCTATTTAATATACATATTTATTTATACGAATTATTACTGTCGTACACAGCCATAGTGTTGATTAGGCAGTAACTACATCTATCCTTGTCTACAGTTTAGAAAATTCATGCTCTAGACCGAGACATTGATATTGCAACCTCTCTCACTTAGGCAAACGCCTCCTGATTACGATAGAAAGAGATAGATAGTAGTCAGTAACATAATAGTTAATTTATGAGTATACGTAATTTAATATTTCATAATTGAATTATAGTGCGACTAGGATCTTTATGAATGTGGCGAAAATTGGAACTAACGTAGCCGTTTTTGTAAACATCATATTTTGTATGTCATTATAACAGTCATTTACGTAGACAGTGGCGCCCTCCCTGAACTGTCACACATTTATAAAGATCCTTTTCGCACTGTAATATTATTTTTTGATGTAAATAAACCAAACACTTTGAACTACGGTAAAAGATGATTATTTTTTGATCCTATAAAGTAACTTCATTCAAAACCGACAAAATGTTTGATCCTCCTGCGCTGCTTCAAGAATATCTTAATTTATACGAAGCCCGGGACGCCTAATTAATTTAATGTTACATTTAGTCACATATTGGTGTCGATTCTGACATGATTCTCTAAACCTAAACTTAGATTTGACAGCAGTGTATCCTTGTCATTCTCTATACAGAATAAAAAGGACAGATTGATGTTAAATTTAGTTTTAAGTTTAGAGAATCATGCCAGAATCGACACTATTGTCTTATTTTCTATTGTTATTGCAAAGAAAGCCAGACTGAGAGCAGCAGTAATGGAATACCATTTCAAATTTTATTAATGTCTCATATTGTTTTAACTAAGTTACCATAAAGGTTCAAAATAACCAACTAATACCGTAGTTTTAATACATAGGGTATTTTACATCCAACAGATATTATTATTCTTTTATCGGGACATGAAACCGGAACTAATGCTGTATAAATATTAGTTTTCCTTCGGTTTCATTTTGCTTATAGACACCACAAAATTTTAATTAAACAGTAATCCATTATAATTATAGACAAGTATTAGTAAAAAGTCAACAGCGCCTCAAATAATCTCTGTCAAAATTCTTCAAATTAATTAAACCTTAATTCATTCCGCTTTAAATTCAAAATAGTTTGATCTAACTTGCTGTTGACTGTACATTAAGACTTCTTTGGAATACAACCTTATGACTAGGAAATTTAGGCGAATATAAGAGTCAAACAACTTCTTAATAATAAGTGTGAGACATTTCATCTTAAAAGTTTTCTTTAACAATTTTTTTTTCACAAATTTATAAACTCGCCTTGTATATGAGAAAAGATTTTGTTAATACACCATCACCTAAATTAAGTATTAAAAATAAATGTTTAGCAGTCTCAAAAATATTTGTGACGCTATCAGTGGATGTGCTTTGTGGTTAAAAAGTTAATCTGATAAAAGTGTGGTTTAGACTCATCTTTATAGTTTTTTGAGTTTTTATTTAGTTAATCCACAAAAAAAACACAGATGCTAATATAACATAGCCTTTAAGTTTGCTGTCCTTTTGTTACTTTTTTGAGTATTATTTATTATTTTAAGGAAAAATTATTTCATATTTACCAAAGTATTTTAAAGTATTAATATGTATCTGGGGTCATTGATGGAATAATTTAACTTGTTTCGAAAATGAAGACCATTTTCTTAATTACTTGTTGTCCAAGCTTTATAATATGTTATTTGAGGGTTCAAACAACTATTGCTATTAATAATTAATGGAACGCTTAGTTTATTCTATTTGTTAGAAAGGTAATACCTAAAAAAAATTAAATATGCATATAAAAAAATACCTCGGTATATTAGGTAACGATTCTTAGGATTAAAATATTGGTCACTGTCTTTTCTTAATAAATGCCAGTTACAACGGAACTTGTGGTGAAGATTTGAGAGCTTGTAAATGCTTTTATTATTGGATTTCAGACCTTCCCCCGATACTCTCAGGGTAGTTTTTCCCTTACGTTTTAAAATTATCTCCGATACTCCGGAATAAGATCTTGTATTGCACATAATATTAAGTAAATAATCGGCACAGAACAGTACCCTTAGTACGAACCAATGTCGAATTCGTTACGTTTGCGAGTCCAAAATGTCATTGTCAAATGTGTACTGATTTCTAGTTCTCGTTACGTACTTTGTGGCACTGCTGTCAAGTTTCCATACAAAATTTGACATTGACATTTCGCACTCGCAAACTATTCGAATTCGATATTGGTTCGTGCTAGGGGTACCGAATTTTTGAAACAGAAAAACTTTCTATAATACTTCAGATTATTACCAAAAGTTGCAAGTTGTAATAAAGAGATTTTTGAAAAGGACTTGAGGAACAAATATGTTAATAACTTAACTTTTACTTAATTCTTCAGTGACTATATCCAGATAGTGACTGGTGAACAAAGCCTTGTTATGCATCACGTATCGAAGAAGAGTACCAGAGATTGTTGTCAACTCCTTCGCCAGTGCCGATAACCCAACGGGTATCTGTCTGGAACCACCGGCGCAAACCAATATCACTTTGAAGAATTCCAGAACGCGTTGACCTGATAAAAGAAGCAATGAGTGAGTATTATGAATAAATGAGATTGGACGTAAAACCGGCCAATTGCGAGTCGGACTCGCGCACGAAGGGTTCCGTACCATTATCTACAACATTAGACACTGTCTTTTTTATAGCGAGGTAGGCGTTTGACTCTACCCCACCTGATGCTAAGTGGTGATAAAGTCCAAACGCGAAGATAGCTCGTACAGCAGTAATAAACTGCTACACTAACCATCCTCACCTCGCCGACCTGCAAGTTGCTTATTTCACGCCTCTTTTAAAAGATCCCAGGTTGTAAGAAGGAGGGAACTCGTGAGCGGGAAAAGCATACCATTTACGGATAGTGCGACAAAGAAATAGGTCACCAAATTTCTTTGTACGCATTGGAATTGTGGCCACAGTCAGCCGGGGACAACGTAAGCCAGCGCGCGTGGTCCTCTGAAGGAAAGGGGAAGGTAGAATAAGAGAGAATAATTCCTCAGAACACACGCCGTGGTACAGACGGTAGAACGCGCTTAGTGACGCCACGTTACGGCGTAATTGAAAAGGCTCGAGGTGTTTAGTCATCTGCTAAACACCTCGAGCCTATAACCTATAGAGCTGTAACCTATCTAAAGCATCGAGCAAGTACTTGGCGGAGCCATCCTAGAGGTGCATCTAGCAAAAACAGCAAAAAATCACGTCTGTTGTATGGGATTATATTTTAATATTTCATGCGTGTATCTGTTGCCGTTTTTAATATAGAGCAAAAAACGCCTAAAATCACGTTTGTTTTATGGGCCCCCCTTAAATATTTATTTTATTCTACTTTTAGTATTTTTTTGTTATAGCGGCAATAGAAATACATCATTTGTGAAAACTTCAACTGTCTAGCTATCACTTTTCATGAGATATAGCCTGTAGGGTGTTTAGCCCAAAGGGTTTAACATACCAATAAATACAAAATATACATATATATAAAATATAATCGGATATCGTAAAAAAACTAAAATTCCTGTATGTCCAAAACTTCATTGAGCATTTTTTATTCGTTGAACAGGGACAAAAAACTGCCTAACTAAACACATCAAATGGAGGATGAGTCTCTCAAGAAGGGGTCTCAATTTAGCTTGTATTAGTAAATGTATGTTTTTTGCTGATTAAAATTAAAAAAAAAACTAGTTTTTTTAAATTTGTTTTTAACACACCACTTAGCCTAAGTATAGTAAGCTCTGGTAAGTTTTTGTTATGGGAAACTAGGGTAAACACAAAATACTTACGGACTATCTGCCTCACTCTGTGTTCGGGATCCCTCAAGGAAGTGATCTGAGTCCTAATCAATTCTTTAGTCTCTGCAGTCAGTGGTTCTTGGTTCATAGTTTCCAATAGTTGATCTGTTACCAGAATGACTTCTTCGGCGACAGATGGCAGCACTGCCTTCAGTTCTCTGAAACCAACTCGTAATGTTGTTCCTACTTTTTGAATTTCCCTACATCCTTCCTACCTGTATTCTACTTATAGATTTTTTTTAATGTGAATAGAATCATTTTCAAAGGTGCATACTCTGATGAAGCGATTTTCCCTTGGTCTTTTCGATTTGCTGAATATTCTTAAAATAAATCAAAAAAGATAATAAAATCTAATCCTATTGGTTAAATGCTTATAATTAAAATACTCGTAGCCATAAATCAAATTAGGGTCACTATGAATTTTAAATTGGAAATCTTAAATATTGGATATTCAAATTCATACAAGTCACCATTTAGGTGCGAGGCGCAATTAATAGGCATACAACACTAAAACCTTACTTTCTTCATGTCTATTGGACCCTCTTATGATAGTAGACAAAAAGGAAGATTCTTATCTCTACTCACGTATCGTTACAAGCCTCTTCTATGATGATGAAGATTTTCTCCTTGAGGGTTTGTTTGTGTTTTGCAGCCATATTGGGGTCGTTGGCACTCTCTCCAGGACTCACCAGCAAGAGAGAGGCATATCTATTGGACCCTCTGGTCTATGTAACACATAGGTATACTTATGATAATTAACAAAAAGGAAGATTCCTATCTCTACTCACGTATCGTTACAAGCCTCTTCTATGATGATGAAGATTTTCTCCTTGAGGGTTTGTTTGTGCTGTGCAGCCATATTGGGGTCGTTGGCACTCACTCCCGGACTCACCAGCAAGAGAGAGGCTGCTGCTATCAGACGGTATACTTGGTCACCTAATTCCGCGAAACGGGGGGCGTCTAATGATACCGTCTGTAGGGAAAACCTATCGTCATTATCAACATAGTGTTCATTAGTGTTAAACGCTTTCGAACCAAAACCGAAAACAACCCTTAGCACGAATCAATATCGAATTTGAATAGTTTGCGAGTGCGCAATGTCATTGTCAAATTTTGTATGGAAACTTGAACAGCCATACCGGACTTAACGAGAACTAAAAATCAGTAAACATTTGACAATGACATTTCGCACTCGTAAAGTATTCAAATTCGAAATTGGTTCGTGCTAAGGGTACTGGAAATTGATTTAACCAGAGCGCCGCGGCTTGAGGCCGAGTGATGCGGTTCATTCTAATATGAACCTTATTCAGTGCGGCGTAAAGATGAAAATGCAACGACATCTGCACTTGTTTACAAACTCATGCGCGTTACCTACGTATAACTAGGTACTACGTACTCGCCGGTGCTAGTGAACTCTCAATTGAATTGGACTTTTCTGGAATGCGTCGATTTGTATAAATAATCGCGGTCGGCGTCGCGCCGTCGACAGTTGAGATTCAACAGCGATTTCGAAACGAATACAAAGGCGATCAAAGTGCAATTAAAGTGTTCAAGTACGATTGTTTAAAGACTAGAATAGTGTACAGTGAGTGTAGTATTGTATATTTAAGTGAGAACTGTGTGGTAAATAAAGAACTGTCAAGTGTGAACTGGCATATACTTTAGAGTCCCATTCCGATATGTAACTATGAAACAACTAATCACTTTTTTCGTTATTATGTAAAAATCGGGGAAAGACAATAGAGATGATGACAGGGTAAACGAAATTCTAATAATTAGTATGTCAGTTATAGGCAATCAAAAAATTTGTGTGCACGGACCACACATCTGAAGTGAAACTTCTTTTCTTAAATAACCTAACATTAGGAGGTGCATAAGGCATAATTATGGGAATGGAGCACAGCAGCTTTTCACAGCCAACTAAATCAAAAAGGCAACGTGCGCCAAAGTTTGGGAGGGAGGGCTCGTGACGTCACTTCTAAGTAAAAATTTTACCACGACGTGACGTCATTCGACATTTCAAATCAATATATCTCTGTAATGTTTTGGTGTTTGGTTATGTGAATAAAGAACTGATACTAAACTGATAGACTTCGAAAAAAAAATGTTGCCATCATTTCTACTTTAAGTGAATTAAGAATTAATCTTTTCGAAAGTCTCCAAGTCCAACAAGAATTTCCTTAACTAATAATCTCTTCGAAAGTCTTCAAGTCCAACAAGAATTTCCTCAACTAATAATCTCTTCGAAAGTCTCTAAGTCCAACAAGAATTTCCTTAACTAATAATCTCTTCGAAAGTCTCCAAGTCCAACAAGAATTTCCTTAACTAATAATCTCTTCCAAACTCTCCAAGTCCAACAAGAATTTCCTTAACTAATAATTGAAACATGGAGTTTTACTAAAGCGAGACCAATAGGTGTTTAATTCATACCTCTGGATACTCTTTATCTGGGTCCCATTCCAGTAGCTCTAAGTAAGCCTTCGCTAACGTCTGTGCTGTGATGTTCCTTATGTCTTTCTGGTCCGTCACGGGCAAATTCAGACCTGTTTTGTCAATGTTGCGTTTCAACCATTCTTTTGTGTGTTGGAGACCGTCTGAAAATATGTTTGATACTTGTAATGGTATTCATTTGATATTGTGAGTTATCTAGAATGCGAAGAAGCGGGGTTGCCTTGCAGCGTAAGAAATACTAGAAAAAATTCGACAGACCATTATGCTACCGCGCATAATAGCCAGTGTATCCGCCCGGATAGCGGAGGGTGCGGGTTCGAGCCCTGTCTGCTGCCTAATACGCGAGGATTTTTTTCTAGTAAAAAATTTCTTTAGACTATAACAACATAAATAAATAAAAAATTCTTACCTACACTCAAAATTTGAGCCTATTTGAATTAATTGCATATTCGCTATTAGCCAAGCCCCAAAGTAAGTACTGTAAAGCTTTTCTTTCCGATACTAGAGTATCGGATAGAATTACATGTATAAGTATATTTTTATGGTGACTTAAATGCAAATACTCGTATTCATCATACAAACATTTGCTCTACCAGGATTCGAACCCAGGACTTTTGAGTGAAACAATACAGTTTTAAGAGAGTAGGGCATAGCGAATTTTATGCTCGTTTATATGAAACGTTGGAGCATACAGTTCTGTCTCGCTCGTGCGATTGAATTTTTATTTATATTGATGTGCATGTGTTTTCTGTTGCTTATGTAATTGAGTTGGAGTCCTATTTTAGTTGATCCTAGTAAGAGCGTACCGTATCTTTCCTTTTTGTTTTAATTTAAGCTTTGTCTAGGGGAATTATGTCTAGAACAAACTTGCTTTAGATACATAAGGACCATGGCTAATATTGAGATCTATACCACTAGAAAGTTATCTAAATTATTGTAAGTGTTAATACAATTCAAAATAAAGTGCTGTATTTAAGTTAGTAGTGTTTTAATTAATGACGCAAAAAATCCGAAAATCAGTCCTATTTTGAATGAATGAATGATTTTTTTGGTCTATAAATAGGTTATTCATTGACATTGATAGACAAAGGCAATACACCATACTTATCGTGGACCCTGATTGAACGGTATGTGACTCAAAAACATTCGTTCATTTATTAATCACATAATTTTTATTTCATAATAATGTTGATAAAAGACAGGTTAGGATCATTAATAACAAAAAAAAATCATAACTTCATTCTCCCAGTCATTCTTTACTTTTTGTGTCAGTCATATATGTCATTTCTAAGTGAAACTAAGTCTATAATGCTAAAAGTCTGGGTACAGGGTCATACAAATTTACTCATTGTTCTATTAGCTGTTCTATCCTATTCCAACTAATATTCTTAATGCGAAGGTGAGATTCTTTGTTTATTTATTTATGGAACATCAACACAGCTATATTATTACAAACAGACACATATGCTTAATTAATTATTAGGATGTAATACTTATAACTATTAGGACTAATTAAAGATGGCCTCATCATGGCTATGAATTACACTTTACAGTAGAAATATACATATATTCTTTTACAATATCTACGTACGAAATTGAATAAATTACGCTTTCAGGCCTAAATTGATTATGCTATATTTTGGTATAGAGATAGATGAGACTCTGGAGATGCTTATATGTTACTTTTTGTCATGAAAATAAATATTGAAGGGTGTGAAATGGGGGATTAAATTTTGTATGGTTGCAGACGAAGTTGCGGCCACCCGCTAGTGATTAAATAAAAATATTATAAACCTTCAGTCACTTTCAGAATTTCTTCGAACTTCTCCCGCTCGTATTGCACGCTCTCCTTCTGTACGTGCGGTCGTATCATGGCGATGAGAGTGTTCGCCAGATCTAATTTCAGCACTTCCAATGTCTCCAATATAGCCCGGAAAATGTCTACCTGTTGGGTACCAAAAAACGTAGTTCCGTATTGAAAATTCCTCAAATAATAAAAACAAGGAGAGTTTCATGTTATAGTTTTATTTTGCCCTCCGTATCTTTCATGCCATGCATTGGTTATAAGGACAATAAATTTTCTTTGGTCCATTTTTTGGCCTTAACTTTCTATGAATATTTAAACACTTTTTCCTGTTTAAAAAAAAAATACCGAAAACAGACAGTAAATAATGAAAAAAATGTTATTAATTAACGTCTTGAAAATTGCATGTTTAGGTTGTATTATTTTGTTGTATTTTGCAATTTATAAACCAGAACCGATTTAACCAGCCATGAAAATGGGAAAAATATTCTTATAAAAAATTTTCAATTACATGTGAAGATTTTTTTTTCACTTCACTTACAGTATCGGTTAACGTTGTAATATGATGGATCATTTCGTCCCTAGCAGGTGCCGCCAGTTTAGCCATCAAGTCGATCACAAATTTGGCATATTTGTGGAAGTCGAGGCTGTTGTTTTCAGCTTGTTGCTTGATGAAGTCAGTGTCCAGCACCTCTTCTATCATCTCACGGATGCGAGTGTGTCTCGGCAGCAGTATGGAGAATAAACCCTAAAAATTAATTCATTTAATTTACTTATTCCCTATTGATCAGATTACGCCACGAAAAACAGGTAGGTAATTTTCTGCTCCAACTTTAAATTTTTAATTATCAATATGTCAAATTAAATAAATAAATATTTCCAATTAGCCTAGCCCCAAAGTAAGCACTGTAGGCTTGTAATATGAGATACTAGGGTAACGGATAGAATACATAATCATACTGATACATATAAGTACCTATACTTTTATTATTTAGAAATTCATATTAAAAATCAGACTAGAGTACAATTTGCTTGATCAACAATTGATCGAAGTACTCATCACACAAGCATCTGCGACACCTTAAGACCCAGCATATAAACCATTTGGCCACAGAGGTTGTCAAATGAATGGTCGAAAATTGAAGAGAATATTGATAGAAGTTAAATAATTTAATTAGACAATATTTGCTATATCTCCATTATTGCACAAAAATACTACCTTCTGTTGCCAATCAGGTAATAAGTAAAAGTTGAAGAATTATTTACTTGATTTTTAGTGTTCATTACATGTGAAGATATTGCTTATTACATAGTTTTTATTATTCAATACATGTTATTTTTTTAACTATTATTGTATTCTATTACTATAATAACATGTTATGGCTGAGGCTAACAGTAATCATAGCGTGTCAGTATGTCATTAAGTAAATACCTACCTCATATTTTTCCTGCGCCTTTAGCTTTGAAAAGCTTAATTTTATTTGAAAGCACTGTATTCTTTATTTTTATTACCTAACCTGTCACCTTATCTTTCATCTCATATGAATCTAAACTGGAAACAACTAAAAATTTGGTATCAATTGATAATACTGTTTGTTTTTCTTCAGTTTCACATTGATTTATATACAAAGTTATTTGGTATGAATGGTTAAGTTGAAGGTTTTCAATCATTCAGTAAGAATTTAATATTAGATAGTAATAAGCTGTCATGGCACATGATATTACATAGTTTGTGAAGGTCACCAATATATTTATTATTAATATTATTTCTGTCACCTGTTTGACATCTTCTAGCAGCACAAGGGCCTGTTTGTACTCAGGAGGGTCAGAATTCAGTTGTTCCCGCAATACATCAAAGTAAGCTTTGTGCATAGTTTCTTTAACCAGCTTTTGATAACTGCAATAAATATTAAACATGTATTATTGAATGTAAGTTTAGTCAAAAAATGCAAGAACTAGGCTTTACAAGAAGCGGTTGAATCCTGAAGAGGTCATAACTGGAAATAATCAATGAAGTTTTTTACTTATTTATTTGTAATATATTCCGGGATTATACAATCACAAATCTCCAGAATGCAAAAATTTCAATGGTAACAATGACACTAACCTGTTGTCTGGGGGCTCAAACGGCTCCAGTTTAAAGTCACTATCAACAGCTATTTCATGTGCAAGTGCCATGTTCTGCATGCCGTGAGCTGCCTTCATAATGTCCTCCAATGTTACAAACTTTGGTGGTGATGCACCAGTAATGGTGGTACCTCGTACTCTGAACTGTATAGGTTCACTAGCATAATAGCTGCGGGGGCTGGAAAATTTGTTAGTTTTTTATTCTCTTGTTTTTAACCACATATTAAATTAGCCCTTGAGATAGCTTATGAATATTTTAAATGAAGCATCATCTTGCTTTTCAACTGTTTATATGTGCAGTAACAAAGAATATTTTGTTGCTTTTCAGAACAAAGTATATTACAGTAACAAAGAATATTTTGGCCCAAACAATGTTTGTTTAAGTATTTACATGATGTCCATTTACACACTTATGAATCTAGTAATTGCACTAAGGGACCATAGCATTGTACAAGCAGTTATTTAAACCTTATATAATTTTGCACTTACCGAGATCCTGCTGACATAGGCTCCGAAGGTGTTCTCGCATTATTCTTTTCTTTGTTCGCTCCTTGCGATTCTGCACCATTAGCACCTTCACGCTCACTCATTGTAGGCAATCAATATAAACTGGATCGAGTACAACTACAAATATACACAAGACCTTTTCGAACCTTAAAAGGCAGGCAACTGCAAGGCACAACGTCGCACTACTCAAATCATCTTGTTATGAAATTACCTTGAGTCATAACAACACATAACCTATTTTTTACAACAAAGAAACACAAAGCTATAGTGTTGTTTCCGTATTAAACAATATTTTTTTATCTGTTATTGACTAGTAACATAGGAAAATAACTCCAGTTTGCTTTGTAATTTAAAAATAATCAATATATTTTTGTTTTGATACACTTGTCAATTTTACGTCAATTTTTTTTTTTAGCTCTGTTCTTCTCTATTGAGAAAGGCAAAGGCATAGCCATGAAGCCATCGTCTTATTTTTGTATTAATCTTCCTTTTTTTTTACATTAGAATGTGGGTGTGACGCATTCTAATGCTTCTTGGAGTGTTTGGCACGAAATATATCGAGTTGGCTTTTTCGATAAGCTTCTGTGAGGTAGCCAATACTACAATAAAATTCTCACGTCCACTTGACCGGAATAGCGTATATTTTAAAGATTCCACTAATTCTTCAGTTGCGCAGACGGTTGTAACACAAAATCACACCAATTTTATTTCACAATATCAACTATGAACAAATTTAAGAATAATTAAAATAAGACGCTAACCGCACTCGATGAAATCCCGCCAAAAACCCCCAATTTTACGTCAAGCCAAATTGACTGATGACATTTAAATTTTTTAGACTGTAGCAATTTTTTTGAAACATACAGCCATTGATTTTAAAGCGTTCTTTTCTTGAGCATTTGTAAATGCTCGAAGCATTCACATGTTACATTATTAATTAAACGCTTATCACTTACTAACTTGTTGTCTTATATTCTGTAATATTATCTCCAATCAACAACTGTGAGCTTATAAATGCAAAATAACTGCACAATTATTGTTAGAAAATAGTGAGGTGGACGGTTGATAATCTGAGATACAGGATCTTTCCTAGTTCAGGTATCAACCTGCCATAATCTTGTATCGACTTGTATTGTATGTAACATTTTGCTTCAGTTATCCCAACGGATTATGGTGAGGAATAAATGATTTATTATTTTATTTTCATCAACTTTGATCAAACTTAGAAATTCATTGATTGCTAGCTGCCCAATCGTGGAAAATATGCAATTTTTCGAAGTCCATCCATCATAATTATTACGACAAAGGAGGTTGCGAAGAAGAACCTTGACATCTCATATTGGACTCTCTTCAGCTAGACAGTGCATGAACCCTCGACACAGCATGTCTTTGCTGATCGGTGAACTTTGGTTTACACGGGACAAGCCTAGGATATTAGGGCTCTTTCAATTTATGTGTTTCTTGACGGCCAGCTGCGGTGCCGAAGCGGTGCGTTTGTCGTACAGCGTACGGACGATCCTTTTTTTCATACAAAACGCGCGGTGCGGAAACAGTGCGGTGCCGGTACCGCGAACGCTCGACAACAGGACTGTTGCCGCACCGCGCGTTTTGTATGAAAAAAGGGATCGTCCGTACGCTGTACGACAAACGCACCGCTTCGGCACCGCAGCAGGCCTTATACCACAAATTGCATGCACATAATTCATTATTTCTCACCGTCAGTCATCTCCTGCTAATATCACAAATGTGAAGTTTGTATACTCAATCACGCAAAAAGTAATGAATGAATTTGGATAAAATTTGGTACGCATGTGACCTATAGTTTATGACCTGTTAGTAATATGATACTTTTTATCCCGGGAAAATTGGTTATGGTGGCCGTTTACCATATGCTTTCTTGCTAACTTTGCACCATTAAAAAAATGTTCGGTTCCTGTGTGGAAGTCTCAAAACACTACAGTTAACGCGAACGAAGTCGCGGACGATGGCTAGTTTTTTTTATACGAGGCACCCCTACCCCAAGGAGCTCTGGAATCCTACTCACCAGCAGAAAAACAACACAACTAAAAGGTATTCTGTATGGTGAAGGTTGCTTCCCCAAGCGGGCGCTCCAATTCTCGCGGAAAATCCACTGTGCCTAACCTCTCTTACATATAAAAATGTTATGAAGATCCCTTTTGCTTCGGAAGAGGCATCAAGCAGTTGGTCTGGGCCACTCCGCTGCACCTGCAGTCTTTAGCATTTGTCGTTGGCACAGTGAATTTTCTGCTCATATTTGAGTTAGCATAATTTGGTGACATATCATTGGCGAGAAAATAGAATGGTGTAAAGATCGGATTGGGTTACGGAACACTTTAAATTCAGAGCCAAAGCATAGATCTATGTGAGACCGTGGCATAGGGTTGCCAACCTCAAATTTAGAAAACCAGGATTTGAAGTTGGAAAAACCAGGACAATTCCGTTTTTTAAACAGGACGCATTAATAGAGTTGCGATAGTTAAATAAATATCTAGTAAAAACAGGCGAAATGAATTTCAAGTAATTAAAATAATCACATGTAGCGTAAAAATTTGAGAAGAGGCGCACGAAGTTTATAAATTTAAAAACCCAGGACGCTGCTTAAAATCTATTCAGGAAGCCCCAGGACACTACAAAAACTAGGACATGTCCTGGGAAAACAGGACGGTTCGCAACCCTACCGTGGCATAAAGCAGAGAAAATATTCTCCAAGCAACCACTTTCTTGGAAGAAGACTAAATTTTTAACTACACGATGATTGTATCTTCGAAATCGAAAAATAGAATACGCGCTTTCTAATCAACTTAAACATAATAATGTCAACTAGCGAAAGAAATTCAAATCATAAAAACTCATTAGGCACCCTGTGTCTCTGCGAAGCGGACTCGCAGAAGTACTAAGGCACCTGCTAAGGTAAATTTTCTCAAGTTTAAAATGGAATAGTTGAGAAAAAGCAATCCACTCCGCCCGGGGCGCCCTGCGTTTGCGTAGGTAAATTAGCCGACGTCGGGAACAAGTTAGATTGCCTCCTTTGGTTCGTATGCTTCTTTAATTTTTCTCTGTAAATGTTGTTACGTTTGCACGCTGCTTGGTTTTACAGTTCGCTAATACAGAGAGAACTGAATTTGTAAGTGTTATTTTTTATCATATACGTCAGACTAATGTTAAACGATAATATATTTATTATGACAAGATTATAATAAAATATAGTATACCGTTGACATTATCTTTAATGTTTTATCACAAGACCACAGACATGACAGAAAGTTTTACTTTGAATAGGTATAAGGGGTGATTTCTTAAAAAAACTGATTTAAATCATCAATCAAGTCAATAATCGAAAACGGTCTACTAATCTCGGAGACATGTGCTTACAAAAAAAATATCCTGACGAATTAAAAACCCCCACCTTTTTGAAGTTGGTTAAAAAGTTAAATAATTACCATCTTCAAACTGCCTAATCTCATTATTAATTTACATCATCGTTAGGAGAGTTCTTATCTCACTTGGCTCCTTAACATTACGGTCACGTTTGTTCCAACCGATTCGGGAACTGGGGTAATTCATTGTCGTCTGAAGGCGTGTGATTAGCAACGGATTCAGATCATCTTCATGCTGAGGAGAGGGCAAAAACTGAGCTTACACGACAAGCAAGGGGCTTAGCATAGTAACGACTGTAATCTGTTTGCGAACGGTTTGATTAACACGATATTTTTAAAGTGATTTGGATGACTTACTTGAGCACTTAATTTTTTTAATATTCTGCGTGACTTTTTTTGTTCATCTTTAGCGAGCCGCATTACTTATTTATAGTAATGCGGTTCGCTAAAGATAGTCATTGGTAGTCGCTAAGTTTTGATAAGACATTAGAAGAGTACGAGTTTTCTTCGTTTGTGACGAATTTGCTACGACATGTTTCGTAGTTCGTAGCAATTATGCGTGTAGATAGATGGAAATTACGCTTACAGACTCTGCTACAATTTCTGTGCTCACAGTTCGCATTAGTTTAATTTTGTTATTGATACGTGTATAATTAATTAGCAATTATGTTTAGTTTTACCCCCTTATTAATAAATGAAGACTAAGCTTGGATTAGTTAAGCCATGTTTTGTCTCTGTTCATTTAATGACAAATGGCATTTGAGTGATGTGAACAAAACACGACGTAACTATTTTAAGCTTAAGCTTCGTTTATTAATTAATAAGGGCACATTGTACCATAAGAAATATCTCTGTATTTTGACGTTTGACGTTTGATGACAGCTGATTAAGATGGCGGCTTAAGGAACAAATACAATACGCCAAGAAAGACAAAAAAAGGAAAAAATAGGAATGTGTGCTAGAACACATAGTAGAAGTGAAACTTCAACTTTCTTTTTGAGTGTGTATGCTGTTTGTCGCAGATGACCTTTATACCAGCCATACACACTACGAGAAATCGTTATGATTAGATTGTACCGTCCGAACGGTACCGATAAATCGTAGCGTGTATGTTATAAAACTGCACAGTTTCCTATTCGTACGCCACGTACGATAAACTGTTCCGTTCGAACTGTACAGTCTGATCGTAACGATTTCTCGTAGTGTGTATGGCTAGCATTACAGCGTCACCGGGTTTGGGGACGGCGAGATCCTAAGAGGACCTCAAGTCGAGAATTGGCGAGTGCCTCTATAGGTATTTCAGGTGGATGGAGGTATTTCGTGGGGAGATCCCACGGGTGAATCTCCTCTCCGTCTGGAGCCAAACCTTGAACCTATTTTATCGAAGTTAACTTGAAAATGCGGCCTATTTTATCGAAGTTATGCTGCATCGATGGAGCAGTGATTACCGTGTTCGGTCTGCGATTGTGGAAGTTGAGTAACTTTGCAATGCCTCCTGATAGGCTGGGTGACCAAAAATTTCTTAGATCGAGCTCGGTGTTTAAGAAAGTACGTAAAGCTGTTGTTTGTGGCTGCATCTGCAGTAGTAACGATCCACCGATTTGCACTGGGCCTAGGCTTGCCAGATGGCCGGGAAATCCAAAAGTTATCCCGGAATTTTGCGTCTTGTCCCGTGTCCAGTAACTAGACATTATTGTCCCGGATTCCGATAATGATGACCTAACCTGATCCCGATACGATAGTTTCGTAACAAAATAAACTAATAACCAATGACACCGCTGGCCTGCTTGGTGCCTGCTGGTCTGGGGTGTGATGGGGGGTTTGATTTGGTGCTTTATTTTTTCAGGGGGGGTGCAAATGGTCCGGACTTGATAAACCAGCATCTGGCAATCCTAACTGGGCCTGAGTAGTGAGCGGTGGTCC